AGGGAAACTGCGTGTTCCACAGTTTCATATTTAATTAATACAGAACTGCGAGTCTAGTACTACTCTGTTATATGCTATATTCTATACAAAAGTAACAAGCGGATTCTCTTATCTAAATAAAAAGATATTCAACAAATAAAAAATCTGTACAGGCTCTGATAAAATCACCTATTTTTGTTTTGAATATTTTTATTTTTAAGCACATTAGGAATTTAGGCATCAAACTGATTTATAATAAGGCAAATGATTGCCCACGCAGGGGCTGCAACATTGATTTGGCGTTGCAAGTACAAGCAGGTAGTCATTCTTGTTTCATGGAAAGCTTATGGTTGCCTGCGCAGAGGCGTTTCAGATAAAACGTGCAGGTACATTAGGAACTAGGATTTGCAACAGATACTTGCTCTACTAATCTACATGACTTCGTTCAGGTTGTGGGTTTAGACTATTTTTCCCATTTGTCTTGTTGTTTGTCATCTAGCTGTGTGTTGCTACGGGTAGACAGGTAAACGGAGTTGTTACCAGAGAGGCATGGTGGTGATGGCGTGAAGGTCTAAGGCTAGTCTTGGGGCGTGATTTCCCATTTCCCTTGGGGGCTTTGGTGGGTATTCAACTTGTGTGTCTGTGGATGGTGCGTTGTTTGTGTTTTGTCTCTGTGCGTGGGGCGTGAACCGTGCGCCCAGGTGGTGATTGTCGTCATTGTTTTAGGTTTCCCGGGCGGTCGTTATGATGCCCGGGGCCCTTTGTGGCTGCGTTGTTTATGTTCTGTGTTGGTGGTCTAGGGAAAATCACCTATTTTGTCCCGAGAATTAATTCCTCTTTTTATGAGAATACCTTACTCTCCTTAGCAACATCTTATGGACTTTGTTGTCTCGTTTGTTCTTTATACCTATTCCCAAATCCTTCTCCTGTGTTTTGTTTAAATTCTGAATAAGACTCATGGGGCAAGATTAGATTTCTCTTTACAGGAATAGTATAGGGAGACTGTATAGGGAGACACATGCAGGTGAAATGTGCCTAGGGCTGCATTAACAAAATGCAGAGACTTGAGCAGTGAGACTGCAGGGTGTTGATCGGTATACCAAAACCACATCATTCGTTTTGGTGATTATAGTGAACTTTGTGTATATTTTTTTAATCTTTCAATTTATATAAAAACAACTTAGGTTGATTCATCCTCTCACCGGAGCTATATAATGTAAAATTCTGTTTCCATTTCAGGTCATTCTGGTCCAGAGATTGAGAAGAAGCCCTCCTCTGCTCCTGCGGCACCATCACATTCTGAAAAGAGGCTTTCCTTTGATGGTAGGTTATTGCGTCTACAAGTGCCTGGGTTGCTGCTTGTGTCCATCCTCTGAATGCTCTGTTTTGTTTTTCTGCTGGTCAGAGGATGCACAGAGCTTCCAGACATCTCCAGATAAGAAAGGTAATGGCACTGTGTAGGAAAGACACCCAGTGGGGTCAGGGTGTGGATGACATTGTCAGTAAGGATTTAAAGCACGGTAAAGTCACATACACAGTTTGGGTAGTATATACCGTGAGGATTTTGAGTAATTCTAGAGGGACTCGCCGTGAGGATTTACAGCATTTTGGTAAAGGGATACCTAGTGAGAAGATAGAATACCGTGATTTTTTTCTCTGTTTATTGTCTAAGACCTAGATGACCCTCTGGCTGGACTCTTGTCTGATGAAGATAATGGAAATGCCAAGATGACAAAAACTACTGGTTATGTGCCAACTCATGAATCTGTCCCCTTAAAGAACGCAGGTAGGAAAGGATGACAAACATAATGTAATGTAGCACTGTATAAGGTATGAAGTGGAAGTTAGGTTTGGTACGCAGGTGTGATTATGGGTATTTTCCATTAAAATGATTGCACTGTGTTTTTTAGGCATCGAAACAACTTTAGCTTAATGAAGCAGTTTTAGTATATAGACCATGTCCCTGCAGTCTCTTTGCTCAATTCTCTGCCATTTAGGCGTTAAATAACTCTTGTTTATTTTTATGCAGCTCTGGCCATACCTCCCCTGGCAGTGACTAACATCGCAGAAGATTTAAAAAAAGGTCTAAATTAAACAGACTGTGCTGCTAAAAATGAAGTTTAAACATTGCATCTCTCTTTACAGGAAGTGTTTTGGAAGGCTGTGCAAGTCACATACAAGGATGTGTTTCTAGGACTGTATGAAAAAGTGATTTAACTTTGAGCAGTGAGACTGCAGGGGTATGATCTATACACCAAAAATTTGTAATTAAGCGAAAGTTATTTTGGTGTTTATAGTGTCCCTTTAAATCAAGAAAGCAGAAAGACTTCATGATGGGTGTTCTGTCTATTAGGCTTCTAGTTAACAGGCTGTGCAGTGATGTTCTCATCTTCTGACTTAATTCTACAATTCTATTCACAGGCACACCTCTCTCCAGCCCCGTGAGACCATCTCCAGGCTCTCGCAGGAAGGAAGTTCTCACATTTGACGATGACACTGATGACATCATGGATGCCTTGGGCTTTGGAGACAGCCCACAAACACCTCAGAAAAAAGAGAGGTATCAACTGCCACATACAGGCAAACCCCAAAGACTGTATATATAATAAAGTGCAAGAGTTTGTAGCCCGCAGGTATTATGATAAAATGTTTGCTAGTTACTCACTTAACTTAAACTCAGCATTTTTTTATTTATTTATGGGAAACATTCGTCTAAATTAGATTTAGGATCATTTCTATTATTTTTGGGCTTCAATGGCAGAGTTCAAGAAAACCACATTTCTTTGGTTCTGTCGCAGTTTTAATTTTTTTTATCAAGTGTTTTTGAGATGTGGTCTTTTGTTATATATATATATATATATACTGCTCAAAAAAATAAAGGGAACAGTTAAACAACACAATGTAACTCCACGTCAATCACACTTCTGTGAAATCAAACTGTCCACCTAGGAAGCAACACTGAGTGACAATCAATTGCACATGCTGTTGTGCAAATGGGATAGAAAACAAGTGGAAATTATAGGCAATTAGCAAGACACCCCCAATAAAGGAGTGGTTCCGCAGGTTGTGACCACAGAACACTTCTCAGTTCCTATGCTTCCTGGCTGATGTTTTGGTCACTTTTGAATTCTGGCGGTGCTTTCACTCTAGTGGTAGCATGAGACAGAGTCTACAACCCACACAAGTGGCTCAGGTAGTGCAGCTCATCCAGGATGGCACATCAATGCGAGCTGTGGCAAGAAGGTTTGCTGTGGCAAGAAGGTTTGCTGTGTCTGTCAGTGTAGTGTCCAGAGCATGGATGCGCTACTAGGAGACAGGCCAGTACATCAGGAGACATGGAGGAGGCCGTAGGAGGAAAACAACCCAGCAGCAGGACCGCTACCTCCGCCTTTGTGCATGGAGGAACAGGAGGAGCACTACCAGAGCCGTGCAAAATGACCTCCAGCAGGCCACAGATGTGCATGTGTCTGCTCAAATGGTCAGAAACAGACACCATGAGGGTGGTATGAGGGCCCGACGTCCACAGGTGGGGGTTGTGCTTACAGCCCAACACCGTGCAGGATGTTTGGCATTTGCCAGAGAACACCAAGATTGGCAAATTCGCCACTGGCGCCCTGTGCTCTTCACAGATGAAAGCAGGTTCCCACTGAGCACATGTGACAGAGTCTGGAGACGCCATGGAGAACGTTCTACTGCCTGCAACATCCTCCTGCATGACCGGTTTGGCAGTGGGTAAGTAATGGTGTGGGGTGGCATTTCATTGGGGAGCAGCACAGCCCTCCATGTGCTCGCCAGAGGTAGCCTGACTGCCATTAGATACCGAGATGAGATCCTCATACCCCTTTTGATACCAAATGCTGGTGCGGTTGGCCCTGGGTTCCTCCTAATGCAAGACAATGCTAGACCTCATGTGGCTGGAGTGTGTCAGCAGTTCCTGCAAGACTAAGGCATTTATGCTATGGACTGGCCCGCACGTTCCCCAAAATTGAATCCAATTGAGCACATCTGGGACATCATGTCTCCCTCCATCCACCAATGTCACGTTGCACCACAGACTGTCCAGGAGTTGGCAGATGCTTTAGTCCAGGTCTGGGAGGAGATCCCTCAGGAGACCATCCGCCACCTCATCAGGAGCATGCACAGGCATTGTAGGGAGGTCATACAGGCACGTGGAGGCCACACACACACACTACTGAGTCTCATTTTGACTTGTTTTAAGGACATTACATGAAAGTTGGATCAGCCTGTAGTGTGTTTTTCCACTTTAATTTTCAGTGTGACTCCAAATCCAGACCTCCATGGGTTGAAAAATGTGATTTCCATTTGTTAATTTTTGTGTGATTTTGTTGTCAGCACATTCAACTATGTAAAGAACAAAGTATTTCAGAAGAATATTTAATTCATTCAGATCTAGGATGTGTTATTTTTGTGTTCCTTTTATTTTTTTGAGCAGTGTGTGTGTGTGTGTGTGTGTGTGTGTGTGTATATATATATATATATATTTATTATTTATTTTATTTTTTAATTTACTTATTTTATTATTATTATTTTTTTTTCATTAATAGCATCAGATATTATGGATTTGGGTGTAGAGGGGAGTGTCTAATGGTAAGAATCATTATTTTACAGGTATTGGTTTTCTTGGCCACATAGTCATTATTATTAGGGTGAGCCGTTGGTAGGATACTTTTATGTGAAGGGTATTGCTGTGGGTTTGGGGAACCCTAGTAACCTGGACTGGGAACTTAAAAACAATTTGGGGATTTGGACATAATCATGTCCACCCGCTTGTATATTTAATTAGAGCCCCCACGTGGAAAGTGGGAAGATATTAGGTTCCACCTCCCATGTATTATATTATTAATAACCCCTATTATTTCATTAAAAGGGGTGACTAAGTACCCTCCATCATTTTACAAGCCCCACCCCCATAGGATGGGGCATTTCTACAACTGAACAGCAATGACTGCACAGTCTCTAGTGTTGAGTCGCTGTGGCTGCTCACTATTTAGTAGATTTTCCCCACCCATGGCACTTGGGAGCTGGAGGGAGGTTTTACATCTCCATTATACTAATATGAGGATCACATTGACACCCAAACGCTCATATTATTTTTTCCTATTTAATGTGGCAGCTGGCTAGCAGGTGTAGGCTTACTGCCACAGGGTTATTTCTCGCACTGAGGAGGACCTCCACCCGCCAGCAAATAGGCCATTCTGACTTTAGTGAATAGAATTAGTTTGTCGGTCGCAGTAAGTATCTGTCAGCAGTTCTAGCATGAATACTTACAAAGATGTTTTTTTTTATTTATTTTTTTCATCAAGCATATTCAATAAAAGAACAAATGTGTTTCATTGCAGTCCAAAAATACCCAAATGCATGTACAAAATGTACAGCTTATTTAGTATTCCTGCTCCTCTGTACAGCCCTACCACTATTAAAGGAGTAGGACATTCCATTTTGCTACAGAATCTCTAAAAGTTCCTTTTTTGTAATGGAATTCATCTATCATTAGTAATTAAGGGGTTAATGCAGTGCATCTATTAGTGCAGTCTAATAGATAAGAAAGAACTGTCTAAGATCTGCTGTATTCAATTCTGAATATTGCCTGATTTAGTGATGTATTTTCCTGTAGTCTAAGTTTTCTACTATTCCATATCAGTCCTGCTACTCCGTATGATTCCTGTTACTCTATATAACTGTGTAGCTCCACCACACGCCCTGCGCGCTCCAAACTGGATGAACTAATGGGACGGGGTACAGCTGCCAAACTCCTGGAGAGGCCTCCAACCGGGGAAAGGAAAGAATTCAAACTTGATCCAAAGTATCAAAAGCAGCCAGGTGAGACGATACGTCCATGCAAACTATACAAACAGCTCATTGTACACTTTAATCTCTTTGTCTGTGGTCTAACATAAAAAGGAGGTAGAGATGTGATCAGGAACATGTGTTTTGACAGAAAAGGAGGACATTCTGGCTGATGAAGATATTGCATTTGGTTCCTACCAGCCCACCATAATAACCAGTCCAGAAGGACGCATGTCTCGGCGCTCATCTGTCAGGTGCAACTTATACGTTTTCTTTCGTCTTATCTGTCTGTATGACTGATCACACAGACATTCTCTACACTCTAGTATCTGAATACATTTTTATTCACCATTACAGAAAATTATATTTTGGTCCATCGTGGACCTTTATTCAACATCTTTCTATCTATTTACACTGGTTACAGATTCTCTGCAGAAAGTAATGAAAATGTAAAGGCTAATGTAAAATCTCAGCCTTCCACTCCAAAGGCCCGAAGTCCATCACGGGGAGATAGAAGTGGGGCTGATTGGCTAGGCTTAAGAGACGATGACATCCTGGAGGCAGCACCTTCACTCCCTATGAGAGAGCCGTTGTCTCGATCCTCTGCAGTGACTCCGACATCTACAAGTCGGCCCCAGTCTGGGGCTGAAAATGGTCCCGCAGCTAAACCAAGGGAAAGCAAGCCGGAAGCTGCAAGTAAGTACCAAGAGAAGGAGAAGGATGAGTGGCTAACAAGTGCCCTTGCTCGCAAGAAATCCCAGAAACAGGAAAAAGAGGAGGAGAAACCACAGGCTCACAATGTCACGGCTGAGATTTCTGGCAACAGGTGAGAATTATAGAAGTTTTAAAGAGTATTTTAAAATTGTGCTTACTTAATATATAGAATATCAGAGGAAGTATATTTCATTACATTATTGTTAAAGGAGAGATGACTTGTGGACTCGGATATTTGGATTTCCTAATGTTTTATTTAACAGCAAATAATGGTCTAATTGTCCAATGGCTTTCTACCAACCAATGTTCTCTGAAAAATCCACTGATCCAAAATCCCTCCAACAGCATATAAAAGGGGAAAAAGAGAACTCATGGGCTACAACCTTAACGGAACATTCCAATGGAAAACATATTTTTTTTTTTAAATCAATTTAGTAGACATATTCCCAATGAAAACATGCCTGTATTTAATTATGCATTTTCTCATTGGGTTTATATATCTTGTCTGCAGCCTTTGCAAGCCCTCATCTTCAAACCCCGCCCATACTTTCTGTGTCTGCCCAATCACAGACTTCCCACTGCAGCTCAATGAGAAATCTTTGCAAGGCAGGTGCTCTGGGCAGTTATTGCCTCTTGCGTTTATGTCCACTGAGTTAACCAAACCAGGAAGTAACAGGAAAGGTTATTTGATTGACAGACAGGGAAAGTAACAAGGTTAATTTATTAAAAGTGCCAATCTCTATTGAAATCTGCCCTTTTTGTAAAATGAAATAAAGAGGACACACACTCATCATACAGAAAGCACTTCAGCAAACTAAAGTGCTTTAGGGGTCTGAAGTGTCACTTTAAATGGTGACTGATGAGATCTCTAGCTTGCTCGATTGTGCTCCTTTTTTTTTTTTTAATATCTAGATCTTTAAACACACTGATAGATTATAGCATTACAACCGTTACAATGAGCATGTTTAGCGTGGACTGGTTATATGCACATTACAAATTATGCTATGTGAGCCATATCAACATACTCTGACTAAAACTGAAAGACAAAAAGAACTAAACACATTGTGGGTGATTTATCAGTGTTTTGTCCTTAAAAAAATAAAAGTGGTCTAAAGTATTAAAAGTAGATAAATCTGTACAATCGGCAGGCACATTCCATTGGTGACTCCTCTGTAACATTTTGAACCATTTTTTTTTTTTAATAGAGCACACAGAAAAAAGGAGAGCACCAACAAAAATGTACAAAAACATTATAGCTGCCTAGGCTCCAAATGGCGGTTACATCCTTTAATTTTTTTGCTGTGCACTATTTTTCCGATCCTTGCACATTGATACATTCCCACGTATGGTGTTCCAGCATTACTAGAGCTCACTAACTCACTTTCTTTCTAGGGGTCAAGCCATGTCACTGACAACATCCCAGAAATCAATCCAACCTAGGGCTACAAAGGACAGGGCCTCACCTGTATCTGAGGTATCTGGGTAAGTACCAGTATCACTCTCTGTGACTGCATTTTATAAAGATGTCGGAAAATTAGGTTCTGGCCTTCTCTAGAATGTCAGGTTACATGATCAGGGCATTTTGAATGCCTTCTAGTCACCAAAATAAAATAAAAAACAATTACTTGTTTATGTGTAAAACTTAAACTGGTATCAATCCTTGTTCATATCTCTACAATCATAGAAATGTTTTAATTACATGTTTATTTCATGTTCATGTGCACTCACAGGTTTCCTTTACCCTGGGAGGGTCAACAGAATGTCGGAGTTTCCACTGTTGTCTTTAGTTCCAAGCAAGAGGACGTCCACCAGAAAGGTGCAGGCTTAATAGAAATCCCTTTCATTATAACAGTTATTGAACAAACCCCATAGCCACATACATGTAGAATCTTGTAATTGAGCCCAGTATCTCTCACATGCTCTAGATCAGGGTTCCTACCTGATTCTTGGAATGAAATAGATGGCCAGAGAATCATGGGAGTTGTAGTTTAGCAACATCTGGAAGGCCAGAGTTTTGAGAACCCTGCTCTTGATCACGCCTAAATGTGTTGTACGTACAATACATTTTAATCCTTCTTCACATTTATTATAAATTCTCCTCTCTGCATATAACACTTCTTTACCACTGCCCACCTACTCTATATTAAACTAGTTTCTCTGCGTTTAACACCTATTTACTACAGCTCTTCTGCATCGTAATGCCTTTCTCTGCACATGCTGCCTGGTTGCCACATTTCTTCTGCTCGCTATCTCCTCTCTGCATATCAGTCTTTTTACTACTTCCCTCTTGTTGCTTTGTAACTCCTCCCTGTGCGTAGAACACCTCTTTTCTCATCCCTCATTCTGCATGCTATAGCACCTTTTTGTGCATATTATAACTTTATCACTGCCCCTTACACCATATTTTACTCCCACTTGCTCACAAGACTGGACTTGTCAATGGGCAGCATTAGCAGCGGTCTACACAAAAAGGGTGTTCTAGTACCTCACTAGGGGAGCTTTGCCTCTTGTTGTTTTTCTTTCACTCTGTATCACACCATTTATATGATCCATATGATAATTCCTTATAATTCCTCCCTTGTCTCCATGAAATACTTCTTATAACTTGTTTTCTAAAGTTCTATTCGGCCTCTTTAACTACACTATGCCACCTCTTTCATCTTCATTTAAAACCTTCTTTAACACACAACTTCTGGAATAAAAGGGAATCATGACGGAATATTTCCGTCATGTGTCCTTAAGGGGTTAAAAAGAGATTCTATACTGACAGGGGTAGGCAACTTTTGGCACTCCAGATGTTGTGGACTACATCTCCCATGATGCTCTTATAGCCATAATGCTGGCAAAGGATCTAGGAAGATGTAGCCCACAACATCTGGCGTGTGAAAGGTTGCGAACTATACCCATGTCATCTACTTCAATTGGTGCAGTTCATTTGTGCAGTGTTTAATTTTTTTTTAATGATTTAATCCTGAATGATGGTCCCATCAGCTGACCATTTTTTATCCCCAAAGACCATTGCTGATATCAACTGATATGGCTGAGGCAGAAAATACACTTTGCCTTATCCATACTTCCAGCAAGCCGCAGCTTACACCCTTTAAGTGTTTATTTGAAAATCACAACACTAAAAATCAGCGCTGCCCAACAAGTAGATCCCCAGATGTTGTAGAACTGCAACTCCCATGATGCTTTGCATGCCTTTAGAATGACAAAGCATCATGGGAGTTGTAGTTCTACAACATCTGGGGCTCTACCTGTTGGGCAGCCCTGCACTAAATAGATGGATGGCGCCAGGGGACCTCAGACATCACAATCACTTCAATGAGATGAAGTGGTTATGGCAACTAGTGTGACCTTTTAACTCTTCCATGTTCCTCATATAACAACCTCCTTATAACGGCTCCTCTCCATATATTAATCACCTCCTTACGGTGCTTAGTCTCCCCTTAACCTTTAAATAGTGAATGACCCTGTAATTCAGCTTCTCTTTCCCTTTCCACTCAGGAATCACGCTAGGCAGTCCAGTATAGTGTCCAGTTCCGGGCTGTCTAAGTCACATGTGCTAGAGTACAACTACACTCTGGCACAAAAGTGCAGATTTCTATATTAACAGCGCTTCACGTTAAAACTCTGTATATACAGCTTGCTTGCTCCATGACCTCTTCTAAAAGCAGAAGTGTTCATGAAGGGCGCTATAAACCTTTAACCTTTTTGTGTACATTTCTCACAACATCTCCTGTCTATCCTTTTATCAGGCCCCTGTAGTTTGCATGTATGTGGATCTCTCATCGTTATATCTGTAAAGTGTATTTGATACAAATCTCTTGATTTTCAGCTCCTTCTGTGCCATCCGAACCACTTACAGCCAAAAAGGAGGTCAGTTTATAAATAAACATTTCTGTAATTTGGAGGAATTTTCCTAAAAAAGTAAACTTTCTTCAAATTACCACTTGTTAATAAGGTTTTCGGAGTAAAGAATGTGTGGGAATTTTCTGTCCCAGTTTACTTACTCTACCTGGATTATTATTTGATATAATGGCCACATATGATACTATTTTTTTATCTTCTGCTCAGGAACCGACTACCAAGCGATTTACTGAAAGACGAGTGAGAGAGGTTGATCAGGAGCCGATGGAATCTAAAAGTCACATTTTGGATCTTGAAGCTCAGGTGCGAAGAAATAAAAATCATAATATCCTTCATAAGAACGATGGCTTACCATTTGCTTTACTTAATGTATGCCGTTCATTTTACGATCTGATATATTTGTCTGAGCAGTCTTTGTTTATTTCAGGTGAGGAAGCTTCAGCTGGAGAATGAGCAACAGAACTTAATGCTGGAGACCCTTCAGCAGAGGCACAGAGAGGACTTAGACCTCATTGAGAATGCACACAGGTACCAGCACGGTTAGATTTTATATGTATGCATGTGTTGACTTACTTTTCAGGTATAGAATGCTGGGTTAAACCTAGCTGTTGGGTAGCCAGTTGAAGTGCCTCGTTCAGCTGGTATGTTCTTTACATTGGCTTCCCCAAACTCCGGCCCTCCAGATGTTGCTGAACTACAACTCCCATGATTCTCAGCCTATTTCATTCATAGAATCATGGGACTTGTAGTTCAGCAACATCTGGGTGGCCGGAGTTTGGGGAAGCCTGGTTTAGAGGAACACTCCAAACACCACAAGCAGTATAGCGCATTGCAGAAGTTGCAGTACCGGGAGTGTACTGGTACCCGCCATTGTAAGTATTCAAACTATTTTAGAACGGTTTCACTTCTTATTTGCGGCATATCTGGCTCTGCTCCTCACCTCCTCTCAGAAGCCAGGACAGACAGAAGCACATGCTTAGGAGCTTCCGTTGGCTATCATGGACTAAACCCTGCACCTCTGGTGAGAAGAGCTTCTGGGTTTACCGTTTACCGTTACTAAATAGTTTGACTAATTATATTCGGGGAGGGGGCACCAGGGCCATGAAGTTATTATGGTGCCTGTAGTGTTTCTTTAAAACAATATCTCCAATAGATTAAGATTCCTTTCATGCAACTAAGTTGAAATGTATAAGTAATGATGTAAGCCATATTAGAACCAAATCATAATATTTAAAAGGATAATCCAGACTAGAGCTGACCCATTCTTAATTAATTAAATTATATGTAAAAACATTAAAATTGCTCAATTTCCTGCAACACACCAGGCTTTGCATCTTCTGCAGTGAGCTCTGCTCAGAACAGGAAGTGAATCAGCCAATAATGTTCAAATAACTTTCTGTAGCGAAATGAAAACATAATTGATTTTTTAAATTTTATTTTGGCCTACATTTTTTAATTTACTTAGAATTCCAGGCAAATTTTACTTTAATGAATAGCACTATAAATATTGATTCCAGTACCCACATTCACAAAAATGTTAAACTGTTCTAATCTGAATTCCGTTTATAAACTTCAACAAGTTGTGGAGATCTGTAAACAAAATCCATCTTTAAGATAAAAACACTCACACCCCAGGTTCCTTGCAGCTTTGATGACCCGATTTCTACTTTTTCCTTTACAGAAATCGTCTGAAGCTGCTGGAAGACTCTGCTAGACAGAGAGAAGAGCGTTTATTTCAAGAGAACAAACAGCTGTCAACCCAGTACCTCTCCCAGTGCCAGGCCGCAGAGCATGAGAAGACTGAACTATTGGCAAAATATCAGAAAAGGCTGACCGAATTCCAGCAAGAAAAGGAACTGGAAGTAGAGAGAATAAGAGAGCTGCAGAGGTAAGAGGAGGAACTTGATTTTGATATCCCATTGTATAACTATGTAATATTATAGATATATATGGCTGAGTAAAACATTTGAATAAAGATTTAAAGGAATATTATAGTCACCAAAACTTTGTGAAGCAGTATTGATGTATAGATCATGCTTCTGCAGTTTCACTGCTCAATTCTCTGCCATTTACGAGTTAAATCACTTTGTTTATACAGCCCTAGCCACACCTCCCTGGGTGTGACTTACATAGCCTTCCTAGACACTTCCTGTAATGAAAGATCTAATGTTCACACTTTCTCTTATTGCACATTTTGTTTAATTTGGAATTTCTTATTTCCTGCGCTGTTATTAACTTGCTAGACCTTGCAGGAGCCTCCTGTGTGTTATTGAAGTTACATTTACAGAGCAGGAAATAACAACTTCTAAAATAAGTTAACATCTGATTGATAATGAAGCCAATTTGTTTTCATGCATGTGTCAATCACAGCCAGGGGATGTGTGGCTAGGGCTACATGGGCCAAAACATTAGGGATTTAACTCCTAAATGGCAGAGATTTGAGCACGGTCCCAAAAAACACACAAAAATACACAGATCCTTTTTTTTTTTTTTTTTTATAAAAATACAAAAAAAAACTGTTTTGAAGAGGGATTTCGTGAGTCAATTGATTCTTCTGTTGACATACTTTTTGTATCATTGCCACGTCTGCATCCAGGGCATCGGTAAAGGAAATGTGCATAGACTATGAGGAACAGTTACACCGGATTAAACGTCTCAAAGACCAGGAGATTGATGCAGTCACCAGTGCCTCTTCACAGACAAGGTTAGAAATACTGCAATACAGAGCTGGTCTCTTTAAACTGTTGTTTCTACAGCTAAGCCCAATTCCAAAGTAAAGATTCAATTTCATGAGAAATACAGGGGAGGACACTGATGTGCGTTTACCTTTTTTTTTTTTTTTTTTAACTTTTTTATTGAGGTATTTAAAAGCATTACAATGATGTCAGCAGCACAGTGTAGTTAACAAAACAACAGGTTCTTTTGCAGGCACAAGAGTCTCAACGTTATTGATATTGGGGCGAGAACAGAGAAGTTCCCACTTTTTGTGTTGCAAGGGGGGGGGGGGTTTGGTGTGATAAGGTGGGATACATACGGCTTTGATGTCTTATACCCTAGCAGTGCAATAAGGGAGGTATGCCAGAGTACACTGCATGATAACGAGTGCGTGGTGTGGGATGGTGCTCCAGCTGGTCATCGGGCATTGTGTGTAGGCGCACACTGTTATCTTGTGGCTAGAGTAGAGCAATGGTGCATGGGTGAGGGCACTGGATGGTGGCATGTTCAGGTGCCTAGCAGTTTGGATAGTCTATACGGCGTATCAGCCTGGAGGGTGGGTTATGCGCGAGGGAAGACAGGGGTTTAGGTCTAGCTGGGGAAGTGGTGTCAGGCAATTTGTCCCTGCTTTCCTTGGAGGAATTGGAGCCAGGGGGTCCATGTAGTGAGGTATTCGTCATATTTGAGAGTGAAGGAGTAGGAAAGTTCCTCCATTGTTCTGATAGAGTCAACCCTGGCGATCCAGGCTCTGATAGTTGGGGCTGTAGTCTGTTTCCACATTGTGGGGATTAGAGCGTTGGCAGCCGTTAGGAGGTGGTTGAGTAGGATGCGATTGTGCTTGGTCAGTGGTTGGGGGTATGATAGGAATAGCATGGTTTCAGGGGTGTGGGGGAGGCGTACGCCAGTGATGGTGCGTATGAGGTTGGCCATCTGTCTCCAGTAATCCTGGATTACGGGGCAGAGCCACCAGATGTGTCCTGAGGTTCCCTCAGTTTGTTTGCATCTCCAACATGTTTTGGGTGTGTTAGGGAAGAATCTGTTAATGCGAGTCGGCGTGTAGTGCCATTTAGCAACTCTCTTGTAGTTGCTTTCGTGGGTGCTATTGCTCTTGGACGTGTGGAATATGTTATGGAAGATTTTGTGCCAATTTTTAGCCGGTATTTGAGTGGACAGTTCTTTGTCCCAGTGTGTGGTGTAGGTTGGCAGGATTTCGTCTTGGCTGTGGCGGATCGTTTTGTAGAAGGATGAGATTAGTCCTTTACGTAGTGTGTGGTGGGAGCATAATATTTCGAAAGGTGTGGGATTTCTGTGTCCCTGGAGGAGTATGGGGTCCGAGTGTAGGAAGTGTGTAATTTGCGCGTATCTAAACCTAAGAATGCTAGAGGGTTCGGCATTGGGGGTGAGGTCCTCAAGTGGGATGATCCCTTTGTCGTTGCGAACATCTCCTAGGGTGAGTGTGTGGGTTTGTTTAGGAAAGCTTTGGAGAGCGATTGGGTTAGAGCCTGGCAGGAAGGCTGGATTGTCGGTTAGTGGGTAGAGCGGGGACGGGTGTGGAGCTATATGTTGGTCCCCCCTTATGTTGTGCCAGGTACGTAGGGTATGAGGGATTGTTGGGTGTAACTCTGAGTTGTGTGTTGTGATGATGGGCTTTTTTCCTAGCCAGGGTGCCAGGTGTATTGGTGATGAGAAGAAGCTGGCTTCAATCTTTACCCATTGTGTGTCGTTGTGGGGATGTGCCCATTCGTAAATTCGTGTAAGTGTGATAGCCTTGTGGTAAGCCTCCAGGTCTGGGAGACCTAGGCCCCCTCTCTGTTTACTTTTGGTGAGGCAGTCATATCGGAGTCTGGGGGGGTTGTCGGCCCATATGAATGTTGTAAACGTCCGCTTAGCTTGGGCAAAGAATGAGGTAGGAATTTTGATGGGGAGGGTTTGTAGCAGGTAGAGAAGTTTGGGGAGTACATTCATTTTGAGGATGTGGGTCCTGCAGAGCCATCCAAATTGTGGCCTGTTCCAGGCCTTAAGGTCTGCCGCAATCTTGGCAAGGAGAGGGGGAAAATTGATGTCGTATGTGCGGTCTAGGGAGGTAGTGAGGTGGACTCCAAGGTATTTGACCGAATCTGGGGGCCATTGGAATGGATATGTGTTGCGGAGTAGTGATCGGGTGTTGTGGGATATGTTAAGGGGGAGTATCTCGCTTTTGCTAACATTGATTTTGTAGTTGGAGACTTGGTGGTATAGGTCGATTTGTTGCATGAGGTGGGTCAGTGAAGTCGTCGGGTTTGAGATTGTGAACAGAAGGTCGTCAGCAAATGCTGTGACCTTGAATTCACTTCGTGCTATTGTGAGGCCTGTTATATCGGGGCAATCCCTAATTCCCTGCAGAAATGGTTCCATTGTGAGAATAAATAACAGGGGGGATAGGGGGCATCCTTGTCTCGTGCCGTTTGTTATTTGAAATACGTCCGAAAGTTGGCCATTAACCCTGATCCGTGCTCCTGGTTTGGAGTAAATGGCTGAGAGCCACTTGCTCCAGTTTGGGCCGAAGCCTAGCGCTTGTAATGTCAGTTTAAGCATAGTCCAGTCCACCCTGTCGAATGCCTTTTCGGCATCTATGGTAAGTATGAGGCTTTGGGCTTGCGCCGATTTGGCGGCGTATATGAGGCTAAGCAATTTCGTTGTATTGTTTTTAGCCTCGCGGCCGGGCACAAAACCGGATTGATCGGGGTGGATTAGCCCCTTGAGTAGCGGTTGGAGTCGTTCGGCTAGGATCTTTGTGAAAATCTTAAGGTCCCCGTTAATCAGAGAAATGGGGCGGTAGCTCCCACATTCTTCGGGGTCTTTCCCCGGTTTGTGTATGAGGGTGATGTGGGCTTCTAGGGATTCGGTGGGGAGATTGTGCCCGGATGTAAGGGCGTTAAATGCGGTTACAAATGGAGTTTTAAGGACACTGGCGAACGCTTTATAGTATTTAGCTGTGAAGCCGTCCGGTCCTGGGCTTTTCCCTAAGGGGAGTCGTTTAACTACTGTCGTGAATTCTTCAGGTGTCAGGGGGCTGTCGAAGGTTTGTCTGATATTCGGGGGGATAGTATGGGTGATCCTCGTGGCTAGGAAGTTGGTTACATCCTCACCTGAGGGCGGGGTTAGTCTCAGGTTGTACAGGCCTGTGTAAAAGGTATGGAATTCCTTAAGTATGTTTGGAAGGAGGTGCGTGCGAGTGCCATCTTTTTGTTTGATCGTGGTGATGTATGTCCGTTGGTTGGTTTGTTGGAGAGCTCTCGCTAGTAGCCTACCGCATTTTCCTCCTTGTGTGTAGTAGGTGTGTTTGGTGCGAAGCAGCGTTCGTTTGACCTTGGAGTTAAGAAGTGTTTGCAGTGTCGTGCGTTTGTCCACTAGTTGTTTGTATGTGTCTAGGGACATGGTTTGTTTGTGGGTTTGTTCTAATTGGCGTATGTCCACTAGTAGGTCAGCTGTCTGCGCTTCTCTCTGTTTTTTGAGTTTGGAAGCTAGCGCTATGATGTGGCCTCTAATTACCGCCTTGTGGGCCTCCCAAATGATTGGTGGGGGGGAGACTGTGGGTTTATTTTCTTCGAAGTAGTGCTGTAATGCGTCAGTGAGTGATGTAATGATGGTTGGGTCGTTTAGTAGGGTGTCATTCAGTTTCCATTGGTTGCGGTTGGGTGTCAATGAGGGGATCTGAACAACCAGTGACAAAGGTGCATGGTCCGACCAGGTGATGGGGCCGTAGTTACAGGACTGGATTAAGTGTAGGTGTCTGTGGTGGAGAAAGAGCATATCTAGTCTAGAATAGGTGTGTTTTACCGAGGAGTAGTAAGAGTAATCCTTGGTGTGTGGGTGGGTGATTCTCCAGCTGTCAAATAGGCAGGCTTTGTCTAGTAATTGAGTCATCCTGAGTCTGGTATGGGCGTTGTACGATGTGGACATGGATGTGGTGTCTAGGTTCGAGTCCAGGGACATGTTTAGATCCCCTCCCATTATCAGGATACCTTCCATGTGTTTTTCAATTTTGGTAATGTATTTCGACAGGTGCGTGCCTTGTTTGGCGTTAGGTAGATACATGTTGGCAAATGTCACCACAGTGTTGCCTATCTTCCCTTTCACTATGAGGAGCCTTCCGTTGGGGTCCTCATGGTGGCTTATGTGAGTGTAGGGTACATGTGAGCCTATAAGGATGGCTACCCCTCTAGTCTTGGCCTCTTTATAGCACCCATAGTATCCTGTGGGGTAGTGACGGTTACGAATTGTGATGGTTGAGCCCATTTTAAGGTGAGTCTCTTGGAGGAAAGCTACGTCTGCCTTTAGGCTGCGTAGCTCTCGGAGGGTCAGCGCTCTTTTCATGGGAGAATTGAGGCCCCTGACGTTGAGGGTGACTATTGTAAGGTTGGCCATGTTGGCTGCAGGGGGGGGTGTCATGTTGTGGTGGTCTTGAGTGGGTATGTAGCAGTCAGAACGAGGTAAAAACAGTAACAATATAACAGTGAAAGAAACTATATACAGAGCAGCTCTGATACTTGCAGAGCTGGAAGTTGGGGTATTTTGAAATGTGGAGTCAGTCAGCCTTGGTTGACGGTGGCTTTCCCTTTGGTGGCTATTAAGTCCAGGGGAAGTTGAGTCGGCACCGCTAAGGCTTTAGGTGACTCTCCACTTAGTTGTGGGGTAACCGAATTAGTTCAGTGTGGGGGGGATTTGGTGATGTATCGGTACGTCTTTCCATAGGGAGAGACGGGCAATCCATGGTATGCTATATGGTAATTTGGATTGGTAAATCGGGCTAGGAGGTATGTATAGTTTATGGGACCATTCGGTGCGTATCGGACGCATTGGGCGTGGGCGCTGGGGCGCTCAATGGCCAGGGTCGGAGTGGCTCATCAGGGCCGGTCCGGTACCTGAGTCATAGTTAGTGCGCGAGTGCCATCTTCCAACTCTGCAAAGGCTTAGGATTTCCAGCACAGTAGTGTGGTTAGGGTATCAGCACATAAGACATTAGGAACATACTCATAAAACAGTCATCATAGTTCCTTCAGATATTGCGCAATTCGGTTCAACTCCACCCAGAAGCACGCTAGAAGCCTGTCAAGCCTCGGGAAGGGTTGAAGCCGAGCACGGTGTTATGGTTAGGGTGTCAGCATAAAAAAACATTTGGAACATACTCATAAAACAGTCATCATAGTTCCTTCAGACATCATGCAGTTCGGTATGCTGTTCGGTTCGACTCCACCCAGAAGCACGCGAGAAACCCGTCATGCTTCGGGAAGGGTCGAAGCACAGCCCGTTATTATGGTTAGGGTAGCAGCACAAAGAACGTTTGGAACATACTCATAAAACAGTCATCATAGTTCCTTCAGACATAATGCAATTCAGTTTAACTCTACCCAGAAACATACCAGAAGCCTGTCAAGCCTCGGGAGGGGTTGGAGGATGGGGGGAGGGGATAGAGAGGGCTGGGAGGGGAAGGGGTGTCTGAAGGTGAGGAGGGTGAAGGGGGGGTAAGGGGTTAGAGGAGGCAAGATGTGCTCAAACATTGTAAACCAGCTGGGAAGTAAGATTGATACCCGTCCGCAGGTCTTCTACTGCACTTCCCACCGGCAAGTCATTGCCGTTCAGGATGCAGAGTACCTAAAGTTTGTGGGATCGTGTGTAGGAGTTCGTACCGCGGCTGAGGTTAAGTCCTGGATTCATAGTAGAGGTAGTACGATGAAAAAGTGGAGTTCGGTGGGATCACTGAAACTGTTACGGAGTTGGGGAGCTGGTTCGTCTGTTGCATCGTTGGGGATGTCAAGATGGTTCTCTTGCAGTGAGTGTGTGAGGGAATCTTGGCTTCCGGGGTAAGGTGAGTTATTATAGTGGCCCATGGTTGTGGGAGTCCAGGGAGGTGTGTGAGGCTTGTTTGTGCTTGTAATCCGAACTGGGCCAGGTTAGATCCGGCAATGAGGTCCGTTTCTTGTCGTCTGTGTTCTCAGGTTGGGTTCTGAAGGGGTAGGTGGCGTCCGATAGCGATGGTATGGGGCGTCCTTTATTGGGCGGGGGGTCCTGTTCTCGGTCTGTGTCCCCCTTGGTGAATGGTTTGGTCGTTGTAGCGCCTCTTCGCTGGGGTTTGTCCTCTCTGTCGTGGGGCACTATGTTGCGGAGGCTGGTGTAATGGTCCATACCAGTCAGGGATATGGACTTCTGGCAGGTCAAGGGCCGAGGTAAACGTTTGTGTGTCTTCGGCTGATGAGAGGGTGGCAGTGACCCCGTTGTGAGTTGCTGTAATGGCGAGGGGGAATCCCCACCTGTAGCGGATATTCCTGGATCTTAGGAGGTCAGTGAGTGGCTTCATGGTCCGTCTTGCTTGGAGAGTCATCCAGGAGAGGTCTGGGTATATCTGTACTGGTCGCCCATGGTACAGCAGTGGTTGGGAGGTCTGGCGGAGGCTCCTTAGGATGTCCTCTTTGATGCTGTAATAGTGCAGTCTGCATATCACATCTCTGGGGGAGTCCCCCCCAGGGCCCCTGGGTTTGAGTGCTCTGTGCGCTCTGTCTAGCAGGATGGGCATTGTTGTGTCTCGTTGGAGGATTAGGTTAAAGAGCTCTTGCAGTGTGGAGTGGAGGTCTTCCCCCTCAGCCTCAGGTAGGCCTTTAACCCTTAGGTTGTTACGGCGCCCTCTATTGTCCAGGTCGTCTAGTGCTCTGTACATAGCAGCCATTTGTGTGTTATGAGCTGTCACTGTACTTTGCAGGGCTTGTAGTTGTGTGCATGTGCAGTCATGTTCGTTTTCTAGGGAGTTAACCCTGTCACTGACCTGTCTTACTTCTGTGGAGATGTCATCCATCTTCTTTTGAAAGGACACTTCAAGTTTCTGCAGCATAGTAGCCAGGTCCTGCTTGGAGGGGAGATTCCTGAGTAGGGCTTTCAGATCTTTGTCCCGATCAATGTCCGACGTGAGAGAGATGTTGTCTGATGCCGCCGGGCTGGAGGGCCCTGAGGAGTGCTCCGCCGGGTCGTCCGGCGCCATATTGGAGCCTGCGGCCTCATTTCGCCGGTCGCCCTGATCCTTGAAAAATTTGGTAAGGTTGCTGGTTTTCGCCGCGGAGTGTTTGCCCGCCGTGTTAGGAGCAGTGGAGAGGCGTTTGGGGTGTCCCATGTTGCGGTAGGTGCCCGATGGATGCGGATTGCCCTGAGTCTCTTTCGGAGCTCTGCTAGCAAGCGTCCATTCGCGCTCGCGGTTAGCTCCGCCCCCGTGCGTTTACCTTTTATGTTGCTTGAGCCTTTCCTTTTATACTTCTCTTTGGTCCCACTCACTTGACATTCCAAAATACTGCAGAGGGCAACACAGAATCCATAACTAACAGCGTTATTTAGTCAAGTCAGAATTCAAGGTGAATTTCATATTTAAGGTCAAAATAGCCGAACATTCCTGTCAGTTGTTCTTTCAGTTCAGCTACTCTTGCCTGAAATTTGAGATCCCTTTGAATTCACTTTGAATTCTCACTATAGTAAATAACCCTGTCAGTGACAGAAAGGATGCACACTACTGATACACTTCATCAGATGATAGAAAATGTGTAATATTCTCTTTTTGTTTCTTTATATGGTTGGGCACATTCTCATCTGTCTCTTTCTTCTGCTTTCCTTATCCTTGCCTGTCTAAATTGGGATGCCAAAAATGGGGTGACAAACAGTGTTAATTTTTTTGACTAACAATTTTAGTTGACTAAAATTATTGAGATTTAGTTAACTAAAACTAGGGGCTGTGGGGCAAAAGACACAGACCAGGTCTTGGGAGAGAGACACCTAGCGGGGCTGGGGGGAGCGGGGCAGAAACAGAGGGGCTAGGGAAACCGCAAAAGAGACAGAGGCTTTAACTAAACCCATTAGATTTTAGTCGTGTCGACAAAAATCTACTGGAGATTTAGTCGACTAAAACTAATTCAATTCAGATGACTAAAATGCGACTAAAACTAAAATGGCTTTTTAGTAAAACACTGACTAAAACTAAATAAAAATTTGCCGCCAAAATTAACACTGGTGACAAATAGTAAAGGAGCACGCTAGGCACCTCTACATTCCTGCTTCAGATAGAATGTCCCTGTCACCGCATACTTAGAAAATAAGTGTCAATTTTAAACAAAAAAATCACTTTTTTACAACATCCTTTTCCACCTTCCTGGCTGTCAGTTGGATAGCCGGGACATTTTCACAAGTAATGGGATCTACATGATCTTAGATCTTGCAATTCACATGCTTTTTAATGAGTTGTAAGTATTGAGAAGTGTATGATTGGCCATATGCACACATATGTTATTTGCAAGGTTTCTCAAACTTCCTCAAAAATATGTGTACATATTTTTTTTTGGGGGTGGGGGTGGATTTATACTACATGTTTGGAAAAATAAATATGGAGTGTTGTTTTAATGATTGACAATAAGCAATTCGTTACCCATAACTACATGGAGGGGCTAGTAGTCTCTTATAAAAATATTTTTTTTAAAAAGCAATAAACCTAATTTTAGTTACTGTGCCACATCTTCTTTCCACCTGAGAATATTAATCAGCTTATAAGAAAATAGTGAGCAATTAACCCCTTAAGGACACATGACATGTGTGACATGTTATGATTCCCTTTTATTCCAGAAGTTTGGTCCTTAAGGGGTTAAACTGTTCAGTAAGATTCAATTTGTTAAAACCAATATTTTTATACATCACAATACTTTTTTAATTGTTGTTTTCTCCCTTTCTTGCTATCTATGTCAGTAAATTCAACTCGTATTTTCTGAATTCTCAGGTCCTTGAATGGAGTCATTGAGCAAATGGAGTCCTACTTTCATAAACTGAGTGAGCTGTCTGAGAAGGTAGAATATACCCAAGTAACAAAATCGGAAATTGGTGTACGGCAGAGAGAAGGGCAGCTCAAAGGTACAATGTGCACATAGTCATACTGCACCTTGTGTTGAGGGATGTGGTATTGGAAGGTATATATTAGAATCAGCAGAAAACTTATCCTAACTTACATTTCAGGTAAGAGATTTTTATGGTATAAATAGTATAACATTTTATATTTCTCCTTCTCGTTCTAGTATTGCAGGAGCGCCTGAGTCGGCAGCAGAAGGACATGGAGGAGGAGAGAAATAACTTGCGCATGATCATAACCAATATGGAGACTCGACTGAGTGAACAGAGCCGCCTTCTGGAGCAGGTGAGAAGTATCCTGATTCATAGCCTGAGATCTAGTAAAGTCTACCTTCTAACAGGCAATCAAAAGCTAATAATGCTCTGAATTGACATTGTGATTCTCGGCAGGAACGCTGGAAGGCCTCTGCAGAACAGGCCAAAGTGGAGTCTCTGCAACGGTCACTGGAGGAGCAGAGAAGGGTTTTGACTCAGCAGTTGTCCTTGGAGAGAGAGGAAATTGATAGAGCAAAGGTTGGTTGCTGATTGGCCAAAATGTGTTAACACTAAAGCTCTTAGCACTTATTGAAGTGCAGGTGTTTACTCTCTCCTGTAGAATGTTCTGTGCACACAGTAATTCCCCATTACCGTTCCTTTTCTACCCAATAGCAGAAAGCCTTATTTATCTGTGAGCGATACTAGAGCAGAGTACTTAACAAACCCTTGGAATATTCACTAACTCACTGTGCATCAATGTGTATGGAGTTGGAGCGGAACTTAATCTACCATGATGCTTACATTTTATACCTTTGCGCAACAGTCTCTTGGTTATATTAAAATAGTGTTTCTTCGTGAATAATACACACGTAAGAAACAAATTTATTACAAATAAAAATACACAAAAACAAGTCCTGTGCTCAAACTCACACAACTCTTGGGCGGCAGCAACGACCATAGTACACATCAGCTCAAATACATACAGTAAAAACCAAAGAAAAAAAAAGTTACTTGCGTTCTTCCCAAATCCCTATGCACGTTTAAACAAATGGAAGTTATTTAGTTGCTCCAATGAGAGGGGATGCCTTTCAGCCTCCATGAAGAAATGGTTTCATTATCAAGCAGATCTTTCAGCACAGTTAATTTACTTTAGAAGTTCTTATCTGTTAATTTATTTTTCCCATTAAAGCAGCACTATCTTTGAGAATTGCAAATTCATAAAGACCCCCTGCCGGTGACATCACCACTGGGGATCCGTTGGCCCGGGGGGGTAGGTAAAAGTGAGATTTACTGAACTGAACCTATCCCTCATGGGCACAGCCATCTTGATCCAGCAGGTCCTCGTCAGAGCTAATGTCACTGCCTGAGAGTACATCATTGAGGTCTATGGAGGATCCCGCAAGATCGTGGGATCCTCCATACAGACAGACAATTCCCTGCAGCCGGGATTGGCACACACTTTCTGCCCTGAGTTTTAAAAAAATCCCTCAGACTACTTGGAGTTATTCCAATAAAATTCCAATACAGTCAAAATGAGTATTTCATAAAGTATTTCATAAATTGGGGGGTGTCTGTGTTACTCTCAGCCAGGTGAGGTGTGGCTAAAGTCACATAAACAAAGTGATTTAACTCCTTAATGGCAGAGAATTGAAAAGGTGTCACGAGCGTGGGCTATAGGCCCAGCCGAGACAGGGGGGAGAGCGTGGCAGTGACAGGATTAATGACAAGTAAGTGCATTTGACACTTTTTCCAAATATGACAATTTTGGCCTTAAAAGTTCCAGTTTCCTTGTCAGTTCTACAGATTTCTTGCACTGGTGAATAAGCCTTAAAGGACCACTATAGTCACACAGACCACTTCAGCTCAGTGAAGTGGTCTGGGTGCCAGGTCCCCCAAGTTTTAACCCTTCAGATGTAAACATAGCAGTTTCAGAGAAATGAACGACTATTCAGAGAAACTGCTATGTTTACATTGCAGTGTTAATCCAACCTCTAGTGGCTGTCTTCCTGACAGCTGCTAGAGGTGCTTCTGTGGCACTGGGTGTGAAATTTGCAGAACGTTCATAGGAAAGCTGACGTCGGCAGGGGAGGAGATGTCACCAGCACTGAGGGAGCCCGGCACTGGATTAAGGTAAGTAACTGAAGGGGTTTGAACCCCTTCAGCACCAAGGGAGGGGGGCCCTGAGGGTGGGGGAGTCCTACGGATGCTATAGTGTCAGTGTCACGAGCGTGGGCTATAGGCCCAGTCGAGACAGTGGGGAGAGTGTGGAAGTGACAGGGTTAATGACACCGGACCCCTGGTTACCTGTTGCTAGTCCAAGCAACCACTCAATTAACCCCTGCAATTCCTTCTACACTAACTGCCTAGTACACACTTTACTGCCACCACCAAGACTTTTAAACCCGGGCGTCTTAGGTTACCCCACACACAGGAGAATTATAGAATCACAGTTCTACTTTTACTGATCAAACACATATAATTAACCCTTTTTAGTAACGTGGTTACCTGAGCTTTCCTCTGGAGAGTTGATTAAGTTGATTAAGTAAACATTTAATCTGACAAAAAAGATTCACAGTGCTGAGTACAGAATACAGAAATAAATGACATACAGATAACAAATTGCAAAACAGTACATAAAATAAAATAGGAAATTCCTTACATGTATTTACCCCATATAGGATTCTTGTGGGAGTCTTAGATGGTATAGGTCTCCTAGAAGTTGCTGACCAAAGAAAAAATGAATAACCCCCTGTATAGTCCAGCACCCTCATTATATACCTAAACTAGTTGTTTCTCAGTGGGCAGACCCTTGGGGTGGGGGATCAGAGGGGGTTGGTCTGGCAGTTTAGTGCCCACTCTGTGCAATTCCTTGTGTCCAGCTCTGGTTATGGCTATCTAGATGTTTTATGGTCTAGGCCTGGTGCAAGATCAAAGACCACAATAAATGTCATCTCAAGGTTTACAAAAAAAACTCTTAACATATATCAACACACATCAAACACCAACTCATGCTTTTGGCATGACAGGTAGACTGCAAGGTCAGGCTCTATACATCAAAACCTCCTAACTTAGCTAAAGTTGTTTTGGGCCTTAGAGTGTCCCTCTAAGAGAAGATTTATCAAAGTGTCACAGACCGTTTTGTGCCTTTTTTTGAATGTATTTCGTGCAATTTATTATGTCTGGCAGTTTTGTGTTTGTTTTTTGTTTTGTTTATTTCGTCTTGCTCGCTGTCTTTTCTGAATGTACGCTGTTTTTCAGCAACGCAACATATTTATCAATTATTATGTTAATATTTCTGCGAGAAAAATGTTCTGTTTCAATTAAATTTTTCCAACCAGTCTATTTAGAAAAGCAGATGCCTTTTAGACCATTAGTAGAGCAATTTAATAAATAAGTTTAGAGTCAGAAGTTCATTGATACAGTCAATAAGCCACACAACAAATTAGAGACTAAAAATAAAAGGTAATTTTCTGAACACAGGATGAATCTCCTCCATACTATCCTATCAGGACAATACAGTTGTGAGTAATGACTTTCCAGCTAAGTGCTCCTGGTAACAATTCTTACTTTCTACACATTCCTCCATCAATAGGTTTATTGCATTGGATTAGTGGCCACTCAGTCCAGACAATTTAATGCCCTAACTCTTAATTTATGTTATGTGATATCTTAATTTTACAGTATATATGGAGTTTCCATTAGAATTGTATATAGAATACAGGGTATGTCTAATTAATGTCACATGGAAATGCAGTTACGCATGAACCTCCTGCATTCTTCTGGTTATAATCATACAGATTTATACTGGGTAGTAAATGCCCACAGCCTGTTTACATATCTCCAGTCAGCTTGTGTACAGATATAAAAATGTTTTAGCCATTGGTATGTGTATACACACTGAGTGAAACTATAACACAGCTGTCCATATCTCTCATCAGACAACCTTCTAGGGTAATTAAGGATATTAAGTAGTGGAAGATGTTCTCCCATAAATTCGCAATGTACGGTATCTTTATAGAGTTAGATTGGTTTACATACACAAACATGGGGTGCCAGTTATTAATGATTGACAGTCTACAGATAGTTTATTCATCAAATGCCTGGATGAATTTTTTGGACCCTGCTCCTGTGTCCCTCTACTCTTCTAGTCAAACTAACGTCCAATAAACTTCATTTTAATTGCTTCAGCTGTAGCTTTACATCCACATGCCATTGGTTTAATTTGGAAAGAAAATAGCTGTATTTTCATGTTTTGTCCCCATATCTAGCCCTCTTGTACCTCATTTGCTTTATGAAGTCCTTATTCCTCACCCTATCTTCCTTCATATCTGTGACGGTAGTCACCATCAGTGGTGATGGAAGACATACACTATATGTAGGTCCCCAGATTCCTCTTGTGTTTTGATCATCCTGTGTCTAGTATTGGTGCAGTCATGTTGAATGTATTGATTGTCTGTGCCTTTCCCCCTCCCTCTTTTTCCTGTCCTATTGTTTCCCCAGCAGCACATTGTCCCAGGGACACTGCCAGACCAGTTTAAACTAGCTTCCCTGTTCCTGCTCAATCTCCCATCAGCCCTTGCTATTGTCTGACCCCAGCCTTCCTTGTACTATACTGCTCTATGCACCCTATTGTATGTAAATGAGGCTGTTGGGGACTTAAATATGTTTTGCTATGTCGATTAAAGTTAGTTGCTGTTTTAACCTTCACCAAGTGTCATCTGGTGTTTGGGGAAACCTGCTGATGAAAAGTGTGTCCACTAAAGTGCTCCAGTGTCCCTGATAGCTACGAGAAAGCAGACTTGGCGGAGGTATTCAGTAGGAGTCCTGAAGCTCCGTCACAATATTCTTTACCTAGCACAATCTACACCATCTCTTCTACCCCATTCTGTGGCTAGAACATTCTACTCTCTGTCTTCCATCTCAATCTGTGCCTAGAACAATCTGCACCTTGTACATCATCTCATTCTGTGCTTAGAACAACCTGCACTCTGTAAATCATCTTATTCTGTGCCTAGAATAATCTGCACCATATACACCTCTGCGATATCTATTCCTGCATAGCAAAATTAATAACCCATTCTGGTTCTCCTTCCAACAATACATGGTCTGAGACACCAACAGGTATACAGTTTACTTTTTATTTACAAAACAATACTTTGAGAACAGGGTGTTATATACTACTTTATACTCGAGACTAATATTGTGACGCTAGGTAATTTATTGTACCGCTTCACCTGCAGCGGGTTCACTTATCGGATTGAAATAATCCCTGCAATTACACTATCTCCGAGACGAGCTAGGATAAGTTATACTAATTAGTGTTCTTAATGTGTGCTCTTGTGGTTTTACTTTTTTAGTATTAAAAGTCAAGTTTTATATTTAAAGTGGTACACACTATTTGTACCACTGACTGTCCCCCTCCCTTTTAAGGGACTTACTCTCTTCAGGACACTCTACCATAATTAATTTTCTCCTGTTTTGTGTCTCTTCTTGTTGTTTAGCACCATATACACCATCTCATTCTGTGCCTAGAACAATCTACACCATATACTTCATGTCATTCTGTGCCTAGAACAATCTGCACCCTATACATCATCTCTAGAACAATCTCCACCATCTCTTAAAAAATGTTTTTACATTTCATTGTCACACTCTTCAATTTCTCATATTTTCCCGGACATACTTGAAAACGAGAGAAATCTTAACGTAGCTTTCCTGGTAAAATAGTTTATAAATAAATAACTCATTTTATGTCCCACTGTTGTCAGAGCATTTATACACTATCCTGAATGGATTCCCTGTTTACTAAATTGGAGTCTCTGCTCACATGTTCAGCTGGTGAAAGTGTGAATTGCTCGCAGGATTTTATGATTTGCTCAGCATTTGTCCCATTACTTCAGCCTTCCCATGGTTCCTGGTTAGAAGTGAATGACAGGTAAAGGTTGGTAGTCCAGGAGCAGGGAAGTACACACCTGCACTTTTAGGAGGTTTAGTGTAAGAACATTTCTATTAGACAATGAATCGAAACACAGGGGCTTCTGAAATATAGTACTGACAAAGATAAGTCGAGGTAGACTCATTTATGCTATCTGTTCCATCTCTCATTTCCTCAGAGCGCCCTTCTGGAGGAGCAGCAGTCTGTCATGATGCGTTGTGCTGAGGAACGCAGGAAATTGGCCGCAGAGTGGTCTGAATTTCACACTCAGCACAAACTAAGCAAGGAGCGGGCAGAGAAAGATGTGAACAGAGCGCTGATGTTGGAAACTCAAAGAGAAGGTACCATCATCAGCCTGGCCAAGGTAGGTAGACAACACAGGCCAGAGGTCAATATCTGCCAGCATTATTTACTATGGGGGCTCAAAGAAGAAAAAGCAAATTCTGCCCCTATGTCATCAGGTAGTAATACATATGAACAACAAAAAACTATATTGCCACTAGTTATTGCTTATATGAAATTAAGTATTTTGTAGATGTGTACAATCAAGAGATCCTTAATGTTGGTGAGTCTGAGTGTATAACAGAGCTCAACAGCAATAATACTCACAGTAATGTGTTTTTAAACTACAATAAATCTGTTAAGATATCAGTCTGATTAAATAAGAAACCATGTTCTTGTTCTAAATGTGTTTTTTGTTGCATAATTTGTTATTGTTAAGTAACGTAAAATTTCTCAGAACAGCCCCGCCCCTGGCCACACCCCCACTGATTCCCCTTAAATGAATGTGTCCCTTTTTGTCCATTTCAAAAGTTGGGAATTGTGCAGTGGAGTTGTACATTAGTTGGCATGTAGAGTAAATGAGATGGATTCTGGTTTCGAAAAGTATTTAGAATACAGATGAGAGTGAAGGCTGGTGGGATCCTCATATGTTGATGGTTAGTGATGCCAGTGATTGCCAATAAGTAATTGACAGGAGTTTTTCAAATGTTTTCAAATGGACCCAGATATGTCTTGGAGGCAGACGAAGATTCTGATACACAGGTTTTATATATATATATATATATATATATATATATATATAAAACACAGTGAAACCTCGGAACTCAAAATTAATCCGTTCTAGAAGGCTGTTCGAGTTCCGATTTGTTCGAGAACCGAATCAACATTTCCCATAAGAATTAAGGTAAATTTAATTAATCTGTTCCAGCCCCCCAAAATTACAGCATTTTAACATAAATTTTACAGTTTAATAATGCCTTCCATGCATAAAATCATATAGGATAATAATAATAAACACAATATACAGTAAATGAAATGAAAATATAACTTTACCTGTAATTATGTTGATGGCATACGTAGAAAGGAGAAGAGAAATATTTTTTTGAATGGGGTAGGTAACTGTTCTTCTGGCATTTAAATGTGTCTAATTGAACATGTTTGTGGCATGATTTGTTCGGGGACCGAGGATCGTTCGCATACCGAGACGTTTTTTACTTGAAATTTGTGTTCGACTTCCGAATTGTTCGAGAAAGGGACTGTTCGGGTTCAGAGGTTCCATAGTATATATATTTGTGATCGGAAACATGATAGTAGTATGTATCAGTTAGTGGTGGTTATAAGTCGCTTGTGGTGTGCCGAAACCGACGTACAGGTAGGCCTGTAAATAAGAGGGCCCACCAATGAGAAGAATGGAATAAATAATTTAAATAAGGGGTGCGGTGGTTGGGATGACCGGAAACATAATGGCCAAGGTAAAAGGGAGGATAGGGTTTTTATAGTTCAAACTCCTTCCACAAATACAGGCCTTTGGCCTTAAACTTGTGGTCAGGAACTTGATAGTAGTATGTATCGATTAGTGGTGGTGATAAGTCGATTGTGATGTGCCGAAACTGACATGCAGGTAGGCCTTTACAAAGCTAAACTTTAAAAGCTTCCTAAGTTCTTTCTCAGGTTGTGGGATGTATGTTATAGATTGAGGATTTCCATCTCCCGAGTATATTGATGATATGCAATAACAGAGGCTGCAGATGCTGCCCCTATCCTGAAGGAATGGCCAGGAAACAGATGCTGGATTGCAGTCCAGTCTCAAAAGTAGAGTCCTTATATAAAATACGAATTTGGAGGTAGTAAGTGGGTAGCCTTAAAGTAAGAGTAGAGGTGAAATCGGTGGGTAGGTAGTCAGGTTGTGTGTGTGCAATTTTAATTGGATTTGTGGTGGAGATGAGGTTTACAAAATTAAGTGGCACTTCAAATAAAAAAAAAAAAATGTGTCGAATTGGGTAATGCACTTGAGGTTCCCATGGCAACTTCAAGTATTTCCAAATTGCTTTAAGCCTACTGTTGTCTCTCCGTGTTTGATATGTGATTGAGTATCAAAATTTGTCTGTTTCTGATGAATCTATCGTACAATTTAATTTATTATCGCTGTACAGTGTTTTTCCTTTGACCTACTTCACTGCCACCAATTAAAATACTCCACTTGACTCTGCAATTGTGTAAATCGATTTGTTCTCTACATGGTAGTAACCAGGAATTGTACTCAAAATAAAAAAAGAAGCTTATCTGCAAACTTTAACCCCTTAAGGAGGGAGGCAATTTTACAAGTTCTGACCAAAATAAAACCTGGAATTTGGTTATAAGTTTGTTCAACCATAATTCACCTCTTTTCACCCACACTTATTATATATAAATTTGTTCAGGAGAAATAGGGCTTTCATTTAAATACTTCAATATTCAATATTTATATAAGGAACACAATTTAATATGTATAAAATCTTTTTTTTTTTTTTTTTTTAAGTGGCATTTTAACTAAGAATTTCGTAATCCTGTTAAATTTTACTGCAATTAAACACATATATTTGTATGCTGTGATGTGCCACGAATACAATGATGCCCCCCACATGCTGGTTTCATGGTGTTTTGAAAAGTTTCAGGGTCGAATAATGAGTTTTCAGTTTTTACACGTTGACCGTTTTTACACGCCTGATTGTCTTGCTGGGCCTATGTTGCCTTTGAAAGTGTAGGGCAGCCCAGGAATGAATATTGCATACCATTTACAAAAGAAGACAACCCAGGGTATTCAAAATGGGGTACGTCCAGTATTTTTTTTAGTAGCCACTTAGTCAGAAACCCTGGCCAAAGTTAGTGGTCATATTAGTTTTTTTGCATTTTTCACACAAAAACTGCCATTTCACAGATGGTATCATCGTCATTCTATGTTTTACTGCTCTAAAACACTCAGATTTATGTTCAACGTTATCTCACAAGTGCAACAGTACTCCCCAAGTACAGGTTTTAAGGGGTTTGGAAAGTTACAAGGTCACAGTTAGGGTTTGCGAATTAAATTCTCTGAACTATCTGCATGGGTTATCAGGCAGGTCCCTTAATATATCATTAATAAAATAACATTATGTGTTATGTAAAAATAATACATATATATACACGCAGAATGAAATTTGGTAGGGCCGGATTTGCACAGGGAGATTGCCTCAGTTGTCAGGATCACTGCGGAGGGTAAGTATTCTGGCTCCCAGGAGGGAACGATCATTAGGTGTGTGCTATGACGCAGTAATGGCGTTAAAGCCCCCCTTTTGCAGGATGGCATAACAAGCACTAACAGCATGAAGGGCTCGAACACATGTTTCTGTGGCACATCGCTGTAGAATGATCATTACAGTTTATTTAAAAAAAAACTCTACGGCTTTGATCAAGCATTACAATGAGTCCTCCTCCTACATTACCATGATTATCTATGATGACCTAAAATAAGCAGAGGAATTTTGGGCACCGGTTTTAAAGAAGGTTATTGTAGAACTGGAAAATTTGAAGAGGCGAATTACAAAATAAGTAACGGAGATGGAAAATATTAGTTGTGAACAAAGGCTAGAAAAACTACATTTGGTTTTCTTTAGAAAAAGACACCTCAGAGAGGATATGAAGGTACAATAAAAACATGTGCTATTCTGTTCATTAGCAGGAATATACAACAGATAAGACTGGAAGAAAGGATATTTTGCTTACAGCAGAGGAAAGGGTTCCTTACGGTAATTCTCTGCCTACAGAGGTTCTCATCAGATTCTATAGATATTATAAAAAGCTTGGATGCCTTAAAAGGAATACTATAGTTTTAGGAATACAAAGCTGTATTCCTGGCACTATAGCTCCCTCTGCCTCCCCCTTCCCTCGCGCCCCTTTATTTACTAACCTTATTCCAGCTCCTATGTCCCTTGGAACTATGTCGACTTTCCGCCCCCTACGACGTCCCACCCCCTCTGACGTTCCTATGGAGAAAAGTCTGATGCTGGATGTCCTCAAGCAAAGTGTGAGGACATCCAGCGTCAAACACCGGACCAAAGGTCCGTTTCAATCCAGGAAGCCCTCTAGTGGCTGTCTGATAGACAGCCACTGTGGGCAGATTTAGTGCTGCAATGTAAACATTGCAGTTTCTCTGGAACTGAGCACTCCGTGCAAAAGGGACAGTGCACCCAGACCACTTCATTGAGCTGAAGTGGTCTGGGTGCTTATAGTGTCCCTTTAAGGGATTAAAGGACATTAAAAATTAATGTCTTGGCTCACGTTGTTATTTTGTTTCAAATTTATATTTTCCCTAATTTTTGTTGTTCTTTTTTTGTTGTTTTTTTTTTTTTCAAAATGTCTTAGTGATAGCATTTTAGGACATTCATTTGCTTGTTTGAGGTTAAGACTGTTTAACCATGTCTTGGTTTCTATGACTATCATAATCATATAATGAGGTCTTATCATCTATTAAGGAACAAGCTGAACTGAAAGTTCAAGCCACTGAGTTACGGAATCGAGAGGAGCAGCTGACACTGGCTAAAGAAGCGGTAGAAAAAGAGAGACAGGAACTGCGACTTGAGAAGGAAAGACTCAATGCATTGGCCTTGCGCGTCCAGCACAGAGCTGAGGAGATAGATCACATGAGCAAGGTGAAAGAACCAGAAATAACAGAAGCGTTCTTTTTCAAAGTCCTTGCTTTACTGAAGTGGTTGCATTTTAAAAATACCTGTAGGTACTGTACGTATACTGTGTTCCAGTATAATAGAAATTTCTGATTAAAGCCTCTGGTTTCAGATTGAGTTAAGTAAAAATTACATTGTATGCCATCATGATCATCAGGACTTTAGGGGAACACTCCAGGCACCATAACCACTACAGCATAATTTAGTGGTTATAGTGCCAGAAGTGCCCTGACACCTCCCATTGTAAGTAGACAAACCATATCATAACATTTTACCTGGGGTTCGCTGGGTGCCACTTCCACCCTCCACTATCTGAACTGAAAGCTCCTACACAGGGCTTTAACTCAGACAGTGAGATTCCAGCTATCTGGCTGAAGTATTGTAGACGGGGAGCGGCGCCCAGCAGACCCCAGATAAGACATCAGATCATTCTAAAATGACTACTTACAGGGGCTTGGAGAGCAGCGTGTTACCCTTGGCACCATAACCACTACAGTGTGCTGTGCTGGTAATATTGCTTGGAGTGTACCTTTAAGGAACTTATTCCAAAGCAGAATGTAATACATATTTAAAGGGGCATCATAAGCATTACAGCTTATTATAGTTTGTGTTGATGTGTCATGAGTGTATAGGCACCATTCCCTCTGTATTTTGTTCAACTGTTTTTGAGCAGTTTGACATAAATTGAGACCCTTTCTCGCATGCATTGCCTGCCCTTCAGCATACACTTTGATCAAATGGATATTACAATTTGGCATTGTCGGGTGTAAATCCATCTAACCATGGATGCCTGTTTTAGGCTGAGAGCTCTGTGGACATGCTAGCATTACTTTATTAGGTTGTGATGACTGCAAATTGTGTCTCTGTTTCAGTTTAGGGGTTAATCTAACCTCTTGTAATTTGTTAATGCAAAAATCATAAATGTATAGCAACTCTGCCATCTAGTGGGTGAATTTTATAGAGCAGCCTAACATAACCCTCCATTCGTTTACCCAGCTGGCTTCTCAGAGATATGAGGATGGAGAAAAGGCATTAGAAGAGGCAAAGAAGGTAGAATCTGAACACCACGTGCGTCTCAAAACAATCCAGCAAAAATTAAATTGGCTAAGGCAGGAAGAGGAACGTATACACCAGGTGAGGAGTGTGTTCTAAAATGTAACTTATACGTTTATCATTTTTAAGCTTTTTATATTCACTTAGACAGCTCTGAAAGCTTAGTGAGACACGTTACAGCTATAGCTTTGACTATGAAACACCTGATGTTGCAGAAATTATTACTCCAATGGCTTTCTACTCCTTCTAAGCTATGGAATTCTGTCCAGACTATTTACAAAAGTGAGAATTTAAAGTGAATTTCAAATTCAAGGTAGAACTAGCCGAACTGAAAACATTCTTAAGTCAGTTGTGCTTGCAGTTTGATGACTTTGGTCTTAAATTTGAAATTCACTTTAAATTCTCACTGCGGGCAATAACCCTGTATGTGTTGCAAAGGTATTCGTAACTATATATAATGTTCACACATGATTTTAATATGACCCTAGGAAATGTTATAGAAGAAGCATGGTTTCTCTGTGGGACCATCTTCAAGCATTAATCCCTAAGAATAATACAAATTGTCGCCTGGTATTTACTTTATTTTATTTGTTATATCACTTGATATATTTTGGATACATGCGTTGTGTAATATACTCTAAAGACACATTAAATATTAAATAGGATTTTTAACTAAAGTCTGAATTGTCAGGAATTTAAAAAACTGTCAGGAAGTAAAAATAAAATTTTCGGCATAAATATCCAAATATGCCAACATGGAGACTCTTTCCACTTCAATGTTTTTTTGTCCTAAAATGTAAAATTTACTTTGAATTCTCGACAAATCACACTTTAATGAATAGGCCAGTAGGTTGGTGATATGTGTTTGGTGTCTGCCACATGTTGTAAATTGGTATAACGTAGTGATTAAATATATAAGACAAACAAGGTATCAAGTATTCATTGACAAACAAATAATAGTGATAGTTTGTCCATGGTTATATTTTAAGGTGGTGATTGTGGCCCACCTTGGTGATTGTAGCTCTTTTATTCATTTTAGAGGACTTTTTTTCACTTTTATACTGTATATAAAGTATTCGTTAATCGCTTTCCTGCCTCGTTTTATGTTCTCTGCATATTTTGCTTTGTACTTCTTTCTATCATGTTGTGGTTTCTTTCAGCAACGTCTAAACCTGACTAGTCAGAGAAGACAACTTGACAAACTCCACCAGGGACTTCCCACTTCCTCAGCCCTCTTTCCTGCAGTGCTCCAGGAGCCTCATCTAATATCGCAGCTTCCTGGACTTCAGAGTGTTAATGGTAAGCATGGCTGGTACCTGGCTGGACATGTACTGTGTATACACAATCTTAAAACGACTACTAAAGACTGTATTTATTTTAAAGGACACGCAAACGCCAAAACTACAGACCTGATTCAGAAAAAGAATGAAAGGAACATTCTAAAAAACAAAACAACTTTAACTTAATGAAGCAGTATTAGTGTGTAGATCATGCCCCAGAAGTGTCACTGCTCAATTCTCTGACTTTTAGGAGTTAGATCACTTTTGCTTCTCCTTATATGGCCCTTGTCTTGACTGTTATAGCCTCCATTAAAAAAAAGGTTTTCATTTTCAATAAAATTTACAGCACAGTGTGTTTACACTACAGTGTGTTTTCTAATTGAACTTTATTCACACACGAGGCTCATGCAGGAGATAAGAAATTTGAAATGAAACACACTTTGCATAAGGGATGCTAAAAAAAAAAAAAATCTATTCACCAAAACCACTTTTAAGTTAAAGTTGTTTAGGTGCTTAGAGTGTCTCTTTAAGCAAATCTAATTATTATTATTTATTTTTTTTTAACATGACATGCTTTTTTTTTATTAGTATTTCGTAAAGAATTTCTGCATCAAGAAAAAAATGTTCTGCCACATCCCATGAGAATAAATTACCCTAAATCCCAAATGTATGTTTTTCACGTTAGTAGGTAGTTACAGGATATATACCATTTCCAAACATTAAATCTCTCCCCTCACCCCAAACAATTTAGATCAGTTTTACAACATAACAAAATAGTTTACACCCTGACTTCTAGCCCAAACTATGTATTTCTTGAAAGCAAAATACCTAATGAATTTCACTAGATGCATTTCAATACTACACCTGCAACTGTTTTATCATAGTAGAGTATGCCTCCTCCGTTAGTTTTTACAGTTTATCCATAAGTCACATCATGATTTAATCTATGCAATTCTCTACTAGATAACAACCTATCCAAACTTTCTAACTAACGCTGAATGTACTGCTATAGCTGATTGCTTTATATGAGAGAAAAAAAGGTTGGGGGGTATATTTTTTCACCATAAGAAAGCCGATCTACTGCGAAAGATAACAGGGTTATATGTTAAACACCAGATTTTTAGTATGGAGGGACAAAATTCTATTGCAAATGGTCGCATTCCGACCATTATGAATAGTGTCAATTATCTTACGTTATAAAGCCTATTCCAGTCATAATTCGGTCAATCCGACAAAAATATGTACAATTCGGCCACATGCATTCAGTGTCTGGTTTAAAATCAGTGCTTTTCGCATCTGATTTTGTGTTTTGTACTTTTTTTTTTTTTTTTAAATCACCAGAGAAACAGAGATGTGTGACAGGCCGAACATGATGGGCATGAGTCTTTTTTCAGATCATATTACAATGTAATAATAATGATGGATATTCTTATAGTATCAGGTTTATTATTGTACCTGAGGCTGCCTGTAATAACTATAGGTGTGACATTGTAGGGCTAGGGAAGCTAGGGGTTAGTGTGTGGAAGGTTAGGAGAACATACGGCTAAGGGGCTTCTGCCTCCAAGATGCATATCCCAATAATAAGTGTTACAATACACAGTATTGTAAAAGCAGACAACCTCTAAGCCCCATTTAAGGCGGACCTATCTTTTTTTTAAAAAAATATTATTTATTTATGCCCCCTGTATCTCAATGATCTACTCCCCTCTTTGTCACTGGCAGTTTTTATGTTTATTATGTTTGCTTTCCTGTGCTGGAATTCAGTATCTGAGAGCAGCCATTTTGTTCTCCTCTGCCCATGATGTCAGCTGTTTGCTTTCTGTGTAAATGATTTTACTGATACATTGTAGGTAAATTTGATTGGCAGCTGAAACAGAACCTTCCTTTAAGTTCTGACCATTGTCAAGCTTTGTCAGCCTGACTGCTATACATGAAGAAAAGTAGTACCTACATTTATTTATGTAGTTAATGAAAACTAGAGCGCTCGCAAAACAATAAGAGCTTTAGACGCAAGGAGCTATATAGAAACAGATTAGATGAAGACTCTTTTTGCCACTTGAAACCCCCTAACCCGATCTAACCTCTCCCTACCTTCATGTCAGGACAGTCACACTCTGCTCTTCTGTCACCAGTCAAAAAAAACCAAACATATAATTAATTTAGAAATATACAAAGTGAATAACCAAATGGAAATCAGGAAATTATGAAAATAGTTGCTTTTTATTCAGATGTTTTTTAAAGTTTTACATTCAATCTCTCAGCAGCCACTAGTGTCCCAGGGAAACCGGAGGGTAACCGAACACTGCAAACATCAGAGTTTCAGGCCAAACTTGCACTACTTAAACTCGCTGCACTGCAGGTAAGATGAGTAGATTCGTCCTTCACAATATGGAAACTTGCTAATCAACAATTTCAGGGTTATTTACTAAAATGACAATTGTCGGGAATTCAAAGTGAATTTCAAACTTAAAACCAAAGTAGGTGAACTGGGAGCATAGCTAACTTGAAGAATTCCTCCAGTTTGGCTATTTCGGCCTTAAATTTAAACTTCTCTTTAATTCTCTTTAATTCCCAGCAATTCTCATTTTAGTGAGTAACTATTCGCAACTACTGTAGGTTAAACATGCAATATCCACCAAGCAGATGTTTGAAGGTAAAACCCACTTTTTTTTTCAATTGCTTTATAAAGAAAGGATATGTGGGTTTATTTACAAAACTAGGATTTTTATTTTTTTTTACATTATTTGATAACGTCAATATACAGTACCGAAAAAAATAAGGGTTGTGATAATAAAATTTGAATTGATCTAAGGCAGGAGTGGCGATAAGGGGCCGGCCTACGCTGAAAGGTGGGCATTCAGCTCAGAATTATTGTCTTGGTGTGCATACATAACGAAAGAAAGAAAGTCGCACTACAGCAAAAGATAGATGCTTCAATCATCTTAAAATAAAAAGGCCTTTATTCATATACAGAGCACGGCTGAATTGGGTATGGGGGAGCACTGGATACCACGCAATTCCTGTCTTAATGGCACTTCATCAGAGTCTCTGATGAAATGCCGATTACGGCAAAAATGCATTAGGGGTATAGAGTGCTCCTCCTGTTGTTTCAGCCATGCCCTGTTTGTGAATAAAGGCATTTTTTTTTTAAAGATGATCAAAGCATCTATCTTCTGCTGAAGTCTGGCTTTCTTTCATTTGCTTTGTTTTGGCAGTGGTGGAACCTGCAGATGCTTCTCCCAAATTTCGATGTACTTCTCGTAAATAAAACACACCTATTTCTGTTGAATTTGGTCATTTTTTTCCCGCTAAGGGAAACCATGTGCAGGGCTTAATGACCTTAGATTAGTCTGCACAGCACAAGCACATCTGTTGATGTACTGAGGCCACACTTTCTGAGAACTTCAGAGAAGGAACCCCGAATGGTCGGACAATGCCCTAAACTCGGGACTGTACTGCTGATCCAGGACTTTTGGAATATATAAAAAAAACAACACCACGTATATGCCAATGTCAAGCGGATGGTTAGGTTAAATTGTTATTTTTTTCTCTCCTAACAGGATAAAAACTTTCTGGAGGATGAACAAATTTTCTTGGAAACCCTCAAAAAATCTAGTAACTCATGGTCACAAGTTGCATGATGGGAAGACTTATAGAAGATGCCCAGTCTGAGACAATATCCCAGACACAAGAAAAGTCAGCACTGCTCAGCAATTAACTCAACTCCCAGTATATCCATTACTTATTATGTTTTGTATAAATTCTCTATTTTTTTTATATATATATGTAATAAACTTTTGTAGCCAATTTCTTGTAACTAAGCATTTTTATTGATTCAAGCAAAAGACTGTACACAAACAGGGTTATTCAGTGGGTTTGGTGTATAAATAATGCCTCTGCATGGGCTCAAAGGGTATGCACCATAGCCACTACAATTAGTTTTCTGCGGTTTAGTATCCCAATTTACGGGCATTTTATAAAAGTTTCTATAAGAAATTGCCACTTTTTAAATTAATTAACTAATGGAACATCCCCTGGCTGTCAACCAAGCAGCCAAGGAGGTTTGCTTTCTACTTCCGATAGCTTCTCTGAGCTAACAAAAGTGGCTGCGTACTGTACTTAAAGCCCTCTCATCCTATCATTTCTATCCAAAGTTGGATGCTGATGTACATATTTACTTCCCCATTAGTCAAGCCATATCAGAGGGGCATGGATTTATGCATTGGTTCAGCCCTTGTTTGTGTCAAACTACACAAACAAGGCATGTCAGTAAGCAGAGAGACAGGGCTCAAAGGCTATGCACCATAACCACTACAATGAATTGTACTTGTTATGTTGCTTACTTTGTCCCTTAAACTTTTTGGATTATTTAACCCCTTTACTTGCTTTTGTAAGATCACAGCAACTACAGCACACATTTTGTAGTTGCTGAGACAATAAGCATGAGAAGCTGCCTATAGGTTCTGCTGCTCTCGCCTGTCACACAGTTTCCATAATAGGGGGTAATCCCATCAACATAAAGCTCTAAGGAAAAAACTAATTGTTAATACTACGCAGACGTACATTGGAGGCCTGTAATGGATGCAGGAGAGAAATTGCCTGTCAATGTTATTCACGAAAGCGTTCAACGTGAATTTCAAATGTAAGGTGACAATAGCCAAAATGGAAAAATTATCTAAGTCTGCTATGCTTTCAGTACAGTTATTGTGGCCTTGAAGTTGAAATTAACTTTGAATTCACACTTTAGTGAACAACCCTGTAAATATTTTAGACATGCAGAGATCTCCGTCTTGCTGCACAGGTCATATCTCTGGAGGTTGCAGAGATATATGATGGGTGGGTTTCTCAATTTCCCAGTGAGCTCAAGGATAGCTACACCATCCGTTTTATTTATTTTATTTTTTATTCTATCACCACTCATGCCTTATATAGGGTTTTTTTCCGGGCCTTGATGTCATCTGCGACGTGGTGTGGGGCATTGGTGACATTACTCCTGGTCGAAGCTACGATGCAAAAGTCCTGTAAAGCCGTAGTTAACTCCTTAAGGACCAAACTTCTGGAATAAAAGGGAATCATGATATGTCACACATGTCATGTGTCCTTAAGGGGTTAAAGATATGGTCATGGAACAGATCCCAGTGACATTGCTGACATGGACAGTCACGGAGGGGGCGTGCCCAGTATACTCTCCCTGTTTAAAGCCATTTTCATCACAGAAATGCCACTCAGATCTTACTGTGCCTCTTCTGACTGTGATCCAACTATTTGACTGGAATTTTACTAATTTATTTCATTTCTCCTGTCTATTAATAGAAGATTATCGCCTCTGCTAACACTCCGCTATCTTGTTGCCCTGTCAACCTTACCTCTCAGGCCTGCAAGTTAGTCGTGTTACTGGAAGGGTGTGCTTAGCTTGTATTACTTGACAATTGTAAAGGTTTATCTGCTCCCTCACAGAAAATTATTAAAGGGTTACTCCCAGCATCATGACCACCGGTGCTTTGAAGTGGTCATGGTACCTGAAGTCTGTGTGTGCAGTGTTTCACTATGAAATGCTGCACATTCAGATTTGAACCCCTCTGCTGCCTGGAGGTGTAACTCCACCTCCAGCAGCATCACAGGGGTGTCATTGGCCAGCCTGTAATTAGAGGTTTGGGCTGGCTAATGTCAATTTTGTGCAATTTTCATTTCACAGTATTGCATTCATTGGTTGAGAGCAGTCAGCTGATGTTCTCAACCAATGAATGGTGATGTCCCAGAATCACGTCACCAGAAGACCAGGGAGCCTTAGAGCCTGGTCGGGAACCCAGTTGGGGGGGCAAACCATTACTAAGCGGGCTGTAGTGGCTATGATGATTGGAGTAGCACTTTAATGATTAAATATATTGGCAATATATTTTTGTTTATCTCCAGTAATTGCATTATATTTGCAACATCAGAACAGTTGCAAATAAGTGTTTGTTAACTTGTTAGAATGAAATAAGAGAAATAAAGGTAATCAAGGGCAACGCTTAAAATTTCAACTCAAGTCAAGACAAACCTAAAGATTACATTCAACTGCAAGCCTGGAAAATTCACCACGGTTGAATTTCTATCCACCATGGCTGACTTTCTACTCGCAAATGGCTAGTGAGTGAGTGGAACTTTTGAGTCCTGCAAGGGTATCAATGGTGTTTAAACTAGCAAGTGTAAACGATAAATTGGTGATTGAGAGAATCAAAATGGTGAATTACTTAATAAAGTCAATAATTAAGGTATCATAAAATCCAGTCTTTCCAGAGTGATTGGTAGGCGTTTATGTTGGATGAACGAGGTTATTTCATACATTTAAATACCAGTGATAGTCAAAGGTCGTTTGTTTTATTCCATCTGGTTAGAATTAGAGATGTCGCGAACTACTCGCCGAACTGTTCGCGAACTGTACACCGGCGAACAATAGCGTGTTCGCGTTGGGCGAACATATACAATTTCCGGTCCGCCCCCTATTCGTCATCATTGAGTAGACCCGGAACCTCACAGTCAGCAGACACATTCCAGCCAATAAGCAGCAGACCCTCCCTCCCAGGAAGTGTCTGCTGACTGTGAGGTTCCGGGTCAAAGTTTACTCAATGATGACGAATAGGGGGCGGACAGGAAATCGTATATGTTCGCCCAACGCGAACACGCTATTGTTCGCCGGCGGACAGTTCGCGAACAGTTCGGCGAGTAGTTCGCGACATCTCTAGTTAGAATGAGAGATTTGATGGCCATCACAAGGAAGGGTATACAGGTGGATTTTATGTTGTGATAGGGTAATCATGGTGAAACAAGATAGCTTATGCAGGAGATTAAAGGGACACTCCAGTGCCAGCAAAACAAAACGTTTTCCTGGCACTGCAGGTCCCCTCTCCCTCCCACCACCCATCCCATGTTGCTGAAGAGGTACTTACCTGAGACCCCCGCCAATGTCCCTCGGCGGTGGTTTCGGGTCTGCCCACATTCCTCCCCCGCCAACGTCATCCAGCGGAGACCGATTGTGCATGCGCGCGGCCGCCGGCGGTGGAGACCGCATGCGCGGCATTGCTTCCATTGCTTTTTCTATGGGGAATTGAACGACGCTAGAGGTCCTCACATAGCCACTAGAGGAGGAGTTAACCCTGCAATGTAATTATTGCAGTTTATGAAAACTGCAATAATTACAGCTGCAGGGTTAAGGGTAGTGGGAGTTGGCATCCAGACCACTCCAATGGGCAGAAGTGGTCTGGGTGCCTGGAGTGTCCCTTTAAAAGCCATCATATGATGGGGTATGGTAAAATAATTGGACAGGACCACCACATGTTTATTTCACACCATGAGCAGGTTGTGGGGGTAGGGAAGTCTTAAGCATGTATGTGTGTATTCTTTTTGTTCTTTCATAAATTATCTCTAGCTCCACACAAATATTTTGCTTTGCTCTCCCCTATTCCTACATACATTCATAATAAACTCATTTAATCTTCCCTTAATGGAACTTCTTTATCAATAATTCAGGATTTTCAAAACCTAATTATTACACTGCAAACTAATGAAAATAATAACAACAACAACAAAAAGTTAGCTTGGTGATTCTTTTAGAACATATAGCTATAAACTACCTGCACTCTACAAGCACCCAGTATGCAGGGTAACAGCAGGGTCTGCGTAAACCCACGTGTGCACCACTGCAGCCATGGGCTGAGCCGAGCGCTATGACTTCCGACGTCACTGAATAGTGACAGCAAAGATGGCGGCGCCCTTAGTGAGAGCTGCAAGAGCACCCATAGCAGGACGGCTGCTGAGTACCTCCGGTAATATAAACGGGAGCGGAGGAAATACCGCTCACAGGACGTAGTAACTAGTACAGAATCACGATTAAAAACCTTATCTGAAGCTTAAGGAAGTGGGGGGTTACTGACCAGAGGGAGCATTAAGGTTAGGGGTCAGTGAGGGAGGAGGTAATATGCATTTTATTGGGCTGGGTTTGACCTCTCACAGAAAAATTCAAATATAAAGGATTAGGCATGGTTGGTAAGCAGGGAACGATCAGTAATATTGGGTGTGTACCTAAAGAATGGGAGGGGGAGGGGGAGGGGGAGGGGGTGGGGGCTGTGGCAGACAGGGAACACCGATTGAATGAAGTTAAATTACAAATAATAGTATACACCAGGGGTCTCTTTAAACTCCGGCCCCCACCCCCCAGATGTTGCTGAACTACAACTCCCATGATTCTCTGGCTATCTATGTAATTCAAAGAATCATGGGAGTTGTAGTTCAGCAACACCTGGAGGGCCACAGTTTGAGGACCCCTGGTATACACTGACAATCTGGGATTACTTGTTTTTTTTTGGTTAAAGCTAGAAGGCATTGTGGCAAATTGTCTTTTTATTGATTGCATGCACAGTATGAATAATTTATCCTTTTTTTTTATTTATTTTTTTTTAGCTTCTTTATGCAAACGAGCTGCACCCCTGGGCCCTCTCCCAAATGATCAATTTGAAGGTAAAGACGTGGAGTCGTTGGAGAAATATAGAAGCATAACCCGATATTACAAAGTAGCCGAAGCAGCGAGCAAGAAACCAAGTTGGTGGAAAACATACGAACACTACCAGCAGACAAACGCAGGTAAACCGCCATGATGAAATCATCGATAGTTGGTATGTTTTTGTTTTGCAATTTTAGTGAGACTGAGGTTATATAGTCTCCATGCAATGCATGTAGATTCTGCCCTGCACTGGAATGGGTAACACTGTATATAATTCTCATTTAAAGTTTCACAGAAAAACAGATCTTAAAAAAAATACTCTCTTAATACCTTTTGTACCTATGTTATAGACCTGGGCTCTAGCAATTGCTAGATCTCCAGCTGTTGTAGAAATTTAGTTTGTAGCCTAAAGGGTGCTAAACATCATGGGAGGTTTAGTTCTGCAACAGTTGGGGTTCTGCTTTATGGCCACCCATGTTTTAGTCATATGAATAGATATAAAATAAAAAGGTTATTAAAAATGATGCATTTACTATATAAATATATTTAATATTGCTTGTTACATAATATTATTTATATTTTTTTAATATTCCCATCTGTTTGGTCTTCTCTCTGTGTGGAGCATCTTCATTTGGTTTCATGTTTTGCAATACTGTGGTACTTTGTTGCATATCATATTATGTTATTCTATGTTTTAGTATTGCATGCTTCATGCTAACGATCGATATTTTTGTTTTGTTTGTTTAGTTGATGTAAAAGCAGTTGTGGACATAGGATTCCCAGTCTCTAGGACTTCTTTTGTCAAAAAGGCAAAAGCCAGAAAAGAATTGCTGAAGGAGAACCACAGAAATCTGGAGTTGGAGAGGGCCTCCCGCCACCGAACATGTGTGTTACCTATATTGCCACTTTGTCACAATGATATGTGCACAATTTTGATGTATTATGACTCCTCACCACATTGCTTTAAGAAGCACATTCAAATAACAAAAATGTAGCATGTTTAAATGTGTTTTATGCTTTATGAACCTGGGGTGATTTTCTTGAAATTATAAAGTTTTCTGGTAATTTAAAGACTTTACAAATGACTAAATTTGAAGGGGGAAAAATAAAAGAAATTACTGTATAAAAAAACATGCAACTAGCGGTGTGCAGGAATAAGTGGCAGATTAGCAATGATATAAATGTAATAATGGTTAAGGATAGATAAGAATTGAGTACTGGGCAAGGATCCCATACAAACATTTTGAGAAATTTTATTACGGTTGTCCTAACATTTTGTGTGTACTGCATTACAGCTGTTTCTAAACCTTGGTCCTAATTCCTATTTAAAACTCATATTTATATTTAGTTCACTTCTAAATTATTGTTCTCGCAAGTCTTAGAATGCTCACAACTTGCAAGTAAGCACAGGCATTATTGTCCTTTTTTTTGTGGCAGATTTGCAATTCTACATTTATAACAGCATTGTGTGGCAAGTTGGACATTGTTACTCCTGCTTGCACTTAGCATATACATGAACATCTATGTGTTTTTCTCTTTAGTGCAAATTCCACTGGATGAAGTTCGAGAAGAATGGGAAAGGACCAGTGGACCATTTCATGTACAGAATGTGGCCAAGCACTATGGAGTTTACAAAGACCTTTTTGGAGAAGCTACGTTTGTTCCCAGTGTCCCACTGAAGGTCTACTACAACAAAGGAGAAGAGTTTGTTTTACCTGTTCACTATGGGAATATGGTGACTCCTTCTGAGGTTGGTACATTTGTATATTTCGAGCAGCCAACCATGATAGGATCTAAATCTAACCAAATGTCATGTCTTTCAGGCTTCTACACCTCCTGAGGTGACATTTGAAGCAGAACAAGACTCACTGTGGACTCTGCTACTTACCAATCCAGGTTAGTTTCTAGGAAGAAAATTATTTAACTGAGGCAGTCAAATTGTAGATAAGATCTCAAATACCAGGAGAAAATCATCAAAGCAAATATCAAATTAGTGCTTTATTTAAAAAAAAAAAAAGAAAAAGTGATTAACAAATATTGCCCCACTGGTGTCCTATTTCTATCTCTCTACTTTTCGCATTAAAATTAATGACTACAGTTTTCATTCTTCTGCATTCATTTCCCTACTCATAATACTAATTCTTTGCTGTTGCTCTCCCTGCAAGTTAGTGGTATACATATCAGCCCCTTCCTGCCTTGATGTTCTCTTTGATTCTGACCTCACCCTTATACCTCATACCAAGTTTGTTGGCAAATCCTTCCATTTCATAAATATTGAACGCATCTTCTGTTTTCTTACCCAAGATGTTACTAAGGAGCTTGTTCATTCTTCTCACATTGTTTACCATAATTCTCTCCAACTGGGCTCTCCAGAAATTATACTGCTTTCTACAGTCTATAAAGAATGCTGCTGCCATTTTTCTCTCCAGTCACTCCTCTTACACGTCACCCCTCTGTCAATTGTTACATTGGCTTCCTGTGCCCCATAAGATTCAAGGTTGAGGTCCTCCTCATCAGGGATGTTAAAAACAGACTAGTATATTCATTTTATTTGTGCTGTTTTTGTCTATTTATTTTTTTATTACATAGTTGTTGGCAATACTTTTGCAAATTGTATATATAAATGTCAGTATATCTGTATCTGTAATCTGTACTCCCTGGTAAGTAGTTTTGCTCAATGGCCATTTGTTTGAGTGAGGCTTTAAAACTGTAATTCACTACTTAAAAAATAAAAAATTTATTGAAATCCTTGACATATTGGGCATTTTAGCCATCAGGAAAAATTAGTAACTCTGTTTTGAATTAATTTTCTTTAGTTGCACTTGTGTAGGATTTATTACATTTAAATAAAGCTTTTCATATTTTTTTTCCTTCTAAATATTTTTCATTTTATAAATATATTTTATGTTCAGTAAGGAAGCCTCAGACTGGGCACCAGTGTTAGCTGATTACTAAATCTCAATTCAGAAAACTCGGTGAGAAATGTTGGCACCTTTAATCTCTCGACGTAAGATGGCACCCAGGACCTCCAACCACCGTGTCCACTTATTTGAGAGAGTCAGAGTATTCCTTAAGCGGACGAAGATATTTGTCATAAAAGAGACCCAACATATTTGTTGTGAATTAGTCTATGGCCCATAATGTAATCAAAAACTAAATTGATTTCAGTATGGTATATTCAGGAGGGGTTCAGAAACAATCCCTCAAGATAAACATTTCCCAACTTACACAATGTTTTTTTTTTGACATATGGTGGCAGTACGTATGGGTTGTGCTTCCTAATTGGGACAAGCATCTGCAAGATAGGTGATTAAGAAAAGTACCTCCCCTTTACCCTATAAACGGCTTTCCTGGCAAACCCACCACAGTTCTTCCTTGTCCCAGAACAGGACGGATCAATAGTCTGCTGGAGGTGAGGCACACAGGTTGCTGTCTGGGGCAGGAAGCCCGATAGCCACCCAGGTGGTAGACTGAGCAACATGGTTCCGTCCGTGGAGGTTCCGGAGCCCTTTCTGTTTAACCTCGTGCCGAGTATGTTCTGGCTTGGTGAGTATGGGGGGGGGGGCGGGGGACACCTTCATTATGTTGCAAGCCATGCGCCTGCACACAGCGGTGGAACACACGCCCGAGTGGTGTTGCATTCCACCAAAGTTCCGGGTGCGCTGTTGCGGATGCGCAAACCGGAACTTCCGGGAAACCGCAGAGTTCGGATCGCTGTGCTGTTCCCTCTGGTAGCAGGAAGCTTGTCAGAAGGGTTCCCCGTGTCACCAACCCCCCACACGGCTTAGAGGTTTTCAAGGTAAGGTTAGCTTTTGCCTTGAAAATCTGTTCTGATTAAAATTGCAAGTTATGGATGGAATTGTTTTGCAAGTGGACTGTATGTGCAAAATAGACTGTTTGTACACAGTGGAATGCCTCTACTATACAAGGCTTTTGCTTATTGTATCTGTACTACTCCCCTTAATATGGTTCTAGGGTTTATAAATATGACCAAGATGCTGCAATTTCTTGCATAAAATTAAGCAGTGAAAATGCAATCATTCCTACCATATAGTGAATCAAATAGTGTATCAGCTGCTCTGCCTGAGATGTTCCGCAGGTACCGAAGAGAAGCGTCCTTCGATTACTCCTAATGTCTCGCGAATGTTAATATACCTCTTCTTAAGACATGTCTGGTACATCATACTGTGTGGAGTTGGTTCCCACCTGACGTACTGAAGTGGTTTATTAGGAATGAATCGGTCATAGGGCAGGATATGTCTGCTAACCTTTAATGAGTGTTATCTGTTCCTCAAACGTCATGTCTGTCTTATGTGCAGAAATGGGACCACTCTGTGTAACGAGCCTTTCTTGCCTGACGTTTAATATGTTTACCATCAAATGGGTAAATGTTACACCGCCAGGTACACTGGGAATCCATAAAATTCTGCAGAAGTAGCTGCTTTAAAAACCCTGTCATCAAGAAGGCAGAGTCCTCTTATAGACTGCTGGTTTCGGTGTGGGTCTTTGCGGTCAGGTGCAGCAGTGTCCAAAACGTATAATGTTGTTTACAATCATTAATGGAGGTTATTTAAGTCTCCTAAAAAGCAGCTCGTCTGTTTTCTGTTTTATGTGTGATTATCACATATTTTATATGGATTTGACAATGACTGCCAAGATCATGGGTTGATCTGCTGTTTCCCTTAAATCATGGTGGCTTAAGCTTGGACAGCAGATCAGCGTCCTTTTCGGTTCCCTGTTGACTCCCATTAGGTAAAGGGGTATCTTTTATAACCGAAAAAGGAAAAAAGCTCTGCCTCATGACAAGTAGAACTGGGTCCGACATGGGTAGGCGTTTCGGATGCCAAGAAGCTTGGAGGCGTAATCCTGCATTTATATATGAAGTGTGGATAGCTTAGTGGGTTTAGACCTTGTTCAACCCTTGGGGTTCACAGGTTCGTTTCACCTGCAGGGTTAACTCGGCCCTTCATCCCTTTGAGGTAGATGACTGGAGTACCATTCAATGCAGTCACTTAACATTCCCAGGATGCATTTGGGAACCAGTATTTATCTTAATGTCTCTTGCCTGGCTTTTAAGTGGAACCTACTTGCAATCACTGGTTGCTTGATCTAGTTAGAGGGCACCGCTTGCTCTTTTAAAATCTGCCCAATCCATAATCTTCCGAATAGTCTATTTACAGAAAGAGTGTTCCCTGTTAGATTCAAGGAGTTTGTTAGTTATCAAACTGATCATTCCTTTAAACCGGTTATGAATTTAAATTAGTGAAAAAATTGAGAAGTGTCCTCTATCCAATAAAGCAGCTATTCACCAACAAGGAGTTCCTTTTACCTTGTGAACAATAGAACAAAACAAGCTAGTAAATTAAGTGGACAGTGCTAAGAATTATTATAATATCATACATACAAAGGTAGCAGCAGATTTCGCAATTATGTTTCTTTCTCTTAAAAAAAAAAAAAAAAAGGAAATAAAAGTAAAATGATAGTGCAGTATGTTGTGAATAATATGGTGATAAAGATATATTCCAAAGGGGCACTCATGTTTTCCAGAGTTTAAAAAGCTCTATTTTAGGAGCCTGGATGGAACAATCCCCGTCTAAGGATTTCTTTTTGCTGTTATCAGATTCCCAAGGTAGTGCAGTTCATCATATGAAAAAAATAAGGATGTATACCAATGGTACAGTACGTATGTAAAAGTAGGATAAGTAAATAATATTAGACCTACTTACATTTGCTAGAGCAATGACCTGCTCTAGTGTATGGAGCTTTAGGTGGAGCAATCCCCACCTAGGGATATATGTAGATCCGGAACAGCAGAGGGATGGTGAGAGTATAAGGAGCTCAAGAGTGACTGGGTATTAAGACAGAATCTTTATTAATAAACAGAATAAATAAAACTATTTAAAAGTGAACTATAAATAAAACCAGTCCTTGTAGGCAATCTTTAATCTCCACTTGACATGTTTCGCTTACAGCTTTCTCAAAAGTGAATCAATTAATTTAAATTAATTGGTTTCTCTCCTGAGGTTCAGAATTGAAACTTCTGCTTCTGTAACTCTGATTGTGCAGAAAGGAATTTCATGGTGTATATAGATCACAGAGATATATTCCCACATATCCCTATTGCAGCCCCTCGAGGTTTTCTGAAAATACGCCATATTACGTGGATTGTAGAGATTTCATTGCTCTTCAAAACACTCCCATTACAGCATATTTTAGGGAACGAGGCATTCCTTACTTGGCAGTTTGGCTACTTAATGCTAATCGGGACGTTTGCCCTTTAAAGGGACACTCCAGGCACCCAGACCACTTCTGCCCATTGGAGTGGTCTGGGTGCCACTAGGCATTAGGTCTCCATGGCCGGCGGGATCAGTCTCACCCAACCAGCTGACGTAATGAAGAGGAGGAGGAGCGGCGGTGACCCGAAACCACCGCCAAGGGACATCGGCGGGGGTCTCAGGTAAGTGACTGAAGGTTTTTTCACCCCTTCAGCAACCAGGGATTGGGAGGTGGGAGGGAGAGGGGACATGCAGTGCCAGGAAAACGGATTGTTTTCCTGGCACTGGAGAGTCCCTTTAAGTATGTTTGGGTAGCAAGCAGAGCGCTACAGCAACACTGTTGGATACGGAGGCTATAAAGTATTTTCTTCTTCTCCAGGGAACATAGGGTTTTTTTGAGGTTCGTGTTAACATTAAAACGTTACCTCTGCATCTACTGCACTCATAAAGGAAAGGTCCAATTACTTAAAAAAACAAAAATTTGTCCATAAGGCCAGGAAATTAGACTGGGATGGGATGTCTGCGGTTAACTGGGCAAAATCTAGATTTGGCGGCTACAGTGGAAAATTCTCTCCTCTGGGTCAAAGTGTGGAAATCTTGGATTTCTGTCTCCTAGACTCTCTTTGAAAAAAGCAGAAGCTGTCCTTTCTGCCTATAGAAGGAGTAATTTTCACCACAGAATGTATCTAACACAGGCTCGGTCGCTCGTCTAAATTCTCTAATGCCAGCGTTCTTGGTCCTATGAAAAATAGTCCACTAATTTCAGAGCTCTTAAGTCAGTTCTTCACTCCCCTCATCGATTCATATCTTGGTTGATTGAGGGACCTATTACAATGCGGTCAGACCACGACACTGTTTCCCTCACGTCAACAGATAGGGCGGTGCCAGAGGCAAGGTCTGTTTCAGCTATGTACCAAAACGGTGTACTGGGCTCAGAATTTCTGGGAGGTCCTCTCTCCATTCCACTCATGTGTCGACAATGTCGTCACCTACAACCTCAGCACAAGAAATTGGAATCAAGAGTAAGGATCTATAGATTTGAACATGTTCACAGTCTACAGAGAGATTTGGAGTGCCCGGATAGACCTTATGGCAAAGAGGGAGAACATGAAGATTCTCAGGTTTGCCTCTCTGTACAGGACAGATAGTTCACATTGAATTGTTGGTCTATCTAAGGGTATTTCTCCGGGCTTAAATTTTTGTTTTTGTCCTAAAGACTGTTCCTAAGACTTCTTCAAAGAGGTAACGGACAGAGCAGTGGTTCTACCAATATTTCTGTACTGGCCAAACACAAGCCAGTTTTCGGCCTTGGTGGGGATGAGTTTCAAGTTTGGGGATCTTCCGATTTCAAACACTTTTGGAAGACAGGACATCCTTCAAGTGTTGAATAGGTTCTTATTGACGGTAGGGCACTGCATGGTGGATCCTTCATCTCTTGAGTCAGAGTCAGTTTGTTGCATATAATCTTCTGGTCGTTCCGCCTCTAACCTTTACATGAGGATTTGGGTAGAGTGTCTAGATTGTTGTAAGGAACATCATTGAATTCTTGTTCATTTGTCCGGTTGGTTCAAATTTACACTTCCTGCAGGAGATTTCCACAGGTTGGGCGTTTCCATGTTAAGACCAAATTGTATTCCCCAAGTTCTTTCTGAGAAGGGATTGGTTTTTGTATATACTGGTTAGAAGTTTCTTCAAAGCAATAGGCTTCTTAGGCAACCCAGGAAGTTCTGTTTCCCTCCTGGGATCTTACTTTAGTCTTTCAGGGCCTCTTTTACTTTGGAGGTGGTTCCTTTTAATATGCTAAAGCTTAACCAGCATTCTTAGTGGCCATTACCTCTGCCAAGAGAGTAAGTGAGCTTCAGGATTTATCCTTCAGTGGAATTTCTTATATTTCATCAGGGTAAAAGTTGTTTCATCCTAAAACGTCAATTCTTCCAGAGTTATCTTTTAGAGACGTTAATCGGCTCAACCTTCTATAATTATGCCACCTCCCTGCTGGAACTATATGGCATATTCTAGGGTTAAAAAAGGGCATTTCAGATGTACCTATGAATATCAGCCGAATTCAGAATATTAGGCAAAGGCAATGGTCACTTAGTGGGCAGAGAAAAGCTCTTGCTTCACCCAAATAAATCCACATGGCTGCTTCTTGGTCAGCTTTTAGCCCCTAACAAAACATCAGGCATTTTCCGGCTAGATGTACTCTCGGCCTCTAAAATTGTGTTAGGACGTAGGTTCTTCAAGCTGTTTCTTCATAAGGCCCACCCGATTGGGAATCTTGGTATATCCCATACGTACTACCACCATATTTCAGAAAAAACAGAAATTTTTACTTACCGTAGATTTTTTTTTTTTTTTTTTCTTCTTCTTAATATGGTGGCAGTACAAATCTCCCTCCCTCTAAATTACAATTTTGCTTACAGTGTGTGGCTTTGGTGTGTATTCTTGCTACGACTGAGGTGGGTTTGCCAGGGAAGCCCTTCATAGGGTAAAGGGGAGGGACTTTTCTTAATCACCTATCTTGCAGGTGCTTGTCTCAATTAGGAAGCACAACCCATTCGTACTGCCAGCATATTAAGAAAAAAATATTTTTTTACGTTAAGTAAAAATTTCTGTTTTTGCTTGGCTGCATCTTCTGCTTCTGCAAACAATACCTTACCGTTTACAGAGACTTATTTTAAAAAATGGCCATCTGAGTGGAATTTGTTTTAGTTTTCACCTAAGTGTATGATTGCTTTTCTATAATATTACCATTGTGTTCTTTTTACAGATGGCCACCTGAGAGACACAGACTCTGAATACGTTCATTGGTTGGTGTGAGTATAGGTGATTTGTGGTTACAAAAGAAAAAAACAAAACTGTCTTATACCAACCTTTATGCTTTTTGCTAATCACCTGCTTAAGTTTATAATTTTTTTTCTTTCTTTCTTACAGAGGAAACATCCCTGGTAACCAGGTTCATTCTGGCATTGAAATTTGCCATTACTTTCCACCATTCCCTGCTAAAGGGACTGGTTACCACAGATACATCTTTATTCTCTTTAAGCAGGAAGGGCACATAGATTACAGGGACGATCTGAGACCAAACCCATGGTAAGGAGCACTTTATCTTCCACTTTTGTGTTTGTTTTCTTTGTTTTCGTCTCCTATGTTTTTCATCACTTGTGTGCTGAAACATGGAAAGCAATACAAATTCTTCCCACCCACTTCTCTGCAAGTCACACAGTATAATACTAAACAGAAACATGGCACAAACCAAGGGCTTATATCACCAATGTTCCTGAATACTTTGTATACTGGTAAGTAGTCTGACTCCAAGCAGGGAACACTAGCAAAAACAGTCTACATCCTGGAGCAGGGGAAGGCAACCTTCGGTATTCCAGATGTTGTGAGCTACATTTCCCTTTGCCAGTATTATAGGAGATGTAGTCCACAACATCTGGAGTGCTTACTGTTGCCTGCCCTAGAGTATCAAAAAGAAAATCCTTAGTCTGTGCAAAAGCACTTTGTCAAAGTCACAAGATTGTGTACTGGTGTTTTACTCCTTCCACAACTTTAGTTCAATCAAATTCTGTAAATTCAGTTGAATTGGTTTTCTTGGAGTCACGGCAGATGTTGTACGCATGTAGTTGCAGATTTTAACAATTTATTTGCATACAGGTTGGCTACATTCATATTTATTTGGAAGTTGTTTTTAAAAAGTTGGGCATTGATAAATCTTATTATCAGTGTCCACATTTTGGTGGCTCCATGGGTGGCGAATAAACCCATCTGTGTCCTTTTTTCTAGTCACAGCTTGAAGCAGAGAACTTTTAAAACATTGGAATTCTACAGGAGACACGAGGACAGCTTGACTCCAGCTAGTCTGGCCTTCTTCCAGTGTAAATGGGAGGAGAGTGTAACCCAGGTTTACCACCAGCTACTGAGTAAGTATTCAGAAATGTCAGTAAAATGGTTACTTTTCTTTTTAACATTTTCCTTTTTTACCCCATTCTATTTATTCTAAACTCTTTATAGTAATGCCATCTCATCCTTTCTCTCCATAGATTTGTTACACAATTTGAATCTTTGAGGCTAGTTTCTGCCTCACTCTTCGTCATATGATATTCTAATGTCTTCCATACCTCTATTTTTTGTTTTGTTTTCTCACTTTACTCTGTGTTTTTTAGTCTTCTGTGCATTCGTTCCTACTGACTTGTATCCTTCTACCTTTGGACTGTTTTCACGTATTTTTGTCTTTTTTCCCAAATTACAAAATGGCCCTTTTTGCCATTTAGTCTTTATTTATTCTTTGCTTTCTTTCTTTTTGTTTCTCTTGCCCACAGTCCACTTGCAGCTACTTGATAACCTGTTCTGTCGAATACCCTGCTTTTTGTCATCTTGCTTGTGTTATGACTTCACGTGATTAATTTGAAGCCTTTTTCTTTTTTGTTTTGTTTTTTTCCCTTTTTGAAAAATTCTTTGTTCTTGATTTTCAGACATGAGAGAGCCCATTTTTGAATTTGAACGCCCCCCAGTATATCACCCACCACAAGTGAAATATCCTCATGGCCAACCGCTAAGGTACTTGGACCGATACAGGGATTCTGAGGAGAGCTCTTTTGGGATTTACTGAGAAGGCAAATCCAAGGCACCCAGCTATCAATCCACAGGGGAGCAATGGAACTTGCCTGCTGATGATGATGATCACTTTTTAACTTCAGACACTTCACAAGATGTGTGATTCTGAGACGCTAAGATCTGCCAAATTTCTCACTGCATCTGTTTAAAAGCAATTGCTTAAAATCATAGGTATTTATAATGGCTAAACACAGAGTTTCCTATTAGGAGTCAGTGAATTTGTGATCATGGTATTCAGTACGCATCAGCTGAAGAGGGTTAAAAAAAGACGACAACACTGAAGTCTGAATTGTGAGTTATTATTTGAAACTGAAAGAGAAATAACAATTATGTGATACTCCTGAAGGCTGTGGAGATGTCTGTCATGGTTTTGTACGTAATTTAAAAATTAAAAGTATCTTCTAAAATATTTGTCTTGGCTTTATTATATAATTGGTAAAATAGATACTGGCGTGAATGGACTGCAAGCTCACTCTCTGCGGAGCCCTCAATGGGCGAAGATGGATTTGTTTTTTGGGGGGAGATGGGACATAAATGGGTTTTTATTTAGCCTTATTCTTGGAGCTGAAGAAAAAAGTTTTCCGAAAGAAGTATTATTTTTATTGGACCCCCTTACTATTAGGTGGGGAGTAGGCCGGTATTTTTGGTTGGAAGTGCATTTACTAGGGGCTTGGGGACCCTTTTTATTATAGTCTTTTATTAGCATCAATAGCTCGTTGTTAATCTTTTATGACCACTCACTGTATAGCAGACATGCCTCTACCTGGGGTGTAGGTGCATGAATGAAGTTGTAACCCTCCCTTAGAATTAAATGGTGGTCATATTGTCCCTCATAGCATTTTATTTCCTGCTGCTTCCATTTTTAACCCCTCACTTGCTGGCAGTAAAAGGTTAAAAATGAAATGGAACTTAACAAATTTTGTTCACAATGACAATGTACGAATAAAATTCAGACAAACCATGGATGAAATTCTGTTGGGATGAAAAGTTTATTCGATCCAAAATTTGTGTCTGTCCACTAGTCTAATGGTAAGTTTTTTTCCTAAAAGATGTGATTTCCTAAAGGACTGGAGGCTGGGGGACAGTCTGATGTCACGAGGTAGGACATTCCAAAGGAATGGGGCAGCCCAAAATGGAGAGTTGGCAGTGCGGGAGAAGGTCGTTCTTATCCAGGTGGAACCTGGTTGATGACAAGGTTACTGTTAAGGAATGCAGCATATATTACCAGTCATTTGGGAAAGCATTGGATATTGTAAAAATACATGGTTCAGAGGTTACAGACTACCAGGTAGTGAAGATAAAATAACAATAAGGGAGATACAAGAGCTATTTGGTCTCCTTACATTTGTCATGTAGGCTCTTTAATAAGATTTAATCAGACTTCATTTCATTCTGACAGGCACTCCACATATGTTTTTAATACAATATGTAGGTTAAAGGGATACTCTAAGTACCATAATTGCTACAAACTGTCATGTTTATGATGCCAAGAGTCCTCTAGTGACAGGTAAGTGTCAAAACATGTAAATTATTTGACAGCTAACTGTGGTTATGGTTAAGTAGTTTTTATTAGATTTTCTCCATAAACCAATCCTTTCAACTTCTACTCTCCATCTTGTGTTTTCTGTTATTGCTCCAAAAGTACTTCTGTACATGATGTCACGATCTGGGTTTCTGGGATGTGTCATTCAGCTGTTGGTTTTCACTTGAACTGTCTGTTGGAAAAGTTCAGTATTGCGCCTTCCCTCCTGTGGTGCAGAAGGGGTTAAGTACCCCTTCTGTCACTTACCTGGGTTCAGCGCCGATGTCCCTTGGCGCTGGCTCAGCTCTGCCCACGCTTCTCAATGCTTTTCTATGGGGATTCTACTGACGCTGGAAGCCCTCATGCACACTGGGCAAATACCTGGTGGCCCGAGAATCATGAGGCAGTTGTATCCAGTAAAGTGATGTTCTGTGGGAAAAAGACTTACTTTAAAGGACCACTCTAGGCACCCAGACTACTTCAGCTTAATGAAGTGGTCTGGGTGCCAGGTCCAGCTAGGGTTAACCCATTTTTTCATAAACATAGCAGTTTCAGAGAATTATATGTTTATGAATGGGTTAAGCCTTCCCCTATTTCCTCTAGTGGCTGTCTCATTGACAGCCACTAGAGGCGCTTGCGTGCTTCTCACTGATTTTCACAGTGGGAGCACGCCAGCGTCCATAGGAAAGCATTCATAATGCTTTCCTATGTGACCAGCTGAATGCGCGCGCAGCTCTTGCCGCGCGTGCGCATTCAGCCGACGGGGAGGAGAAGAGGAGGATCGGAGGAGGAGAGCTCCCCGCCCAGCGCTGGAAAAAGGTAAGTTTTAACCCCTTTTCCCTTTCCAGAGCCGGGCGGGAGGGGGCACCCTCAGGGCTCTATAGTGCCAGGAAAACAAGTGTTTTCCTGGCACTATAGTGGTCCTTTAACCTGTTCGACGTGGAGGATAACTGCCGAAGGCTGCATGTCCGGTATTCTGACATTCTAAACATAGAAAAAAAAGAGGGCTATGTAGTGATGACGTGTCTTTTATGAGGGATATCCCCTGATCTTTAAGTAAACACAAAAACCACACCCTGCACATTACAGGGGTACATGCTCTGTAATATCGCAAAACACACTGTACATTATGGGGAGGCTCTGTAATAAAATAAATTAAAAAAAAAAAAAAAGCTCTGTATACACTACACATTACTGGGGGCTCTGTAATATTCCCAGTACACACTGCAAATGGCTCTGTAATATTCCAAGTACACACTGCACATTACCAGGGGTGCTCTGTAATATCTCCGTACACCCTGCACATGGCTCTGTAATATCCATAGTAGACACTGCACATTACTGGGGGTTCTGTAATATTACAGTACACACTGCGCATTACTGGGGACTCTGTAATATCATTGTACACACTGCACATTATTGTAGTCCTGTAATATTCCACTACACAGTGCACATTACTGGTGGGATTGTAACATCCCAGTACACACTGCACATTATCGGGGGCTCTATAATATTCTAGCACACACTGCACATTACCGGGGACCCTGTAATATCCCAGTACACCCTGCACATTACTGGGGGCTCTGATCAGGGCCCGTGCAAGGATTTCTGCCGCCCCCTCATGTCACTCACTGACAGACACATATGCTCACTGACACTTACTGACATACATACACACACACACACTGACAGACATACACTTACTCACTGACAGACACACAGACAGACACTTATTGACAGACATACACACATACATACACTCTCATTTACTGGCAGACAATGACAGTCAAACACTCACTGACAGACAGACAGACAGACAGACACACACACACACACACACACACACACTCACTGACAGACACACAGACTCAGACATCCAGCCTCTCTACATCCCCGGGTCCATGGGTCCAGTGTGTGGCAGTTCCTCACTCCTCCAGTGTGCTGTTTAGTATGCCTGGGGCAGGAATTACGTCATATTCCGGCTCCCTGCATCATGTGTGTGAGGGAGGAGTGGGAAGCTGCAAAAAGAGCCTCCCTTGTCGCCTGCCTACTCCGTCCCCCTATCCTCCATGCACCGGCATTTGTTGGCAGAGCAGGTACCTGCCATCAAGGTAAGCAGGTGCCTGCTTTGACTTATCTAGCACAGCTTCGGGGGTGCCCTGAGGTGGCCAGATGGCCAACTTCTGGCCCCCCTATTACAGGAGTCCTCCGCCCTCCGCTATTCCAGCTCTGCAGACCCAGACAGGGGGAGCCCACCAGGGTATATCGCTTTGATCTCAGTCATGGCTTTAATCTCAGTAAACACTCCATATTACTGGGCGCTCTGTAATATCCAAGTACAACCTGCACAATAATGGGGTCTCTGTAATATCCCCAGTACAGGCTGTACATTACTGGGGGCTCTGTAATACTCCAGTGCACACCGCACATTACTGTAGGCTCTGTAATCCCACACTCTGTAATAACCCAGTACACACTGTTCTTTATTAGGGGCTCTGTCATTCCTTATACACACTGCACGTCATTTGACCCCACTCCCATCTCATTATATTTTCCTATTTACAGTATAACTCACTCACCGCTGGCTCAGTTTGGAGTTGTATTCCACAAAAGCATATGATGAGATTGTCTTAATTTCTCAACCAATGCAGCTCCTTTGGATTGAAACTCTCATCAAACTCAGCCAGATCAACAGCTGTAGATCACAGCTCCAAACAAAGCTCCACAGAAATAATAATAAGAGTAATGTGTCTTTAAATTACAATAAATGTGTTCAGAAATCAGCCTGTGTAAATAAAATACATTGTTCTTGTTCTAAATTACATTTTACATTGCATAAATTATTAGTAAGTCACCTAACATTTTTCAGACCAGACCAGCCCTGCCACTGGCCACACCCGTTCTCACACCCCTCTGTGTCCATATGAAATTTTGGGAGGTATGCTGTAGTTAATAGTGTGTAAGTGTGTAATAGTTATGTTCATAACTTATCATGGGGTAGCTGTATACTTCCCCTCCCTGCAGTCTCCTGCAGCATGTCCACATTACATCATTGCTACAAGTGCTCTGATTGGCTGCAGACTGCACAGACATCTTCTTATGACCTGGTATGACATCAGAGTGCTAGCTATAGTCTGAAACTCACCCTGATCTCATTAATGAGTAGAGGGAGGAGCCAGCTGCAAGACTGACAGGATTGCTCTGATCTCAACATGAGGAGAGGGAGGAGCCAGCTGCAAGATTGACAGGTTCACCTAGCTCTCAATCATGAAGAGAGGGAGATGCAAGCTGCAAGATTGACAGGTTAGCCAGTAGTGTGGGTCTATAATAGTAAGATGGGCCTGGAGCAGCAGCTCCACCTCCCCTATGTTAACCTGGGATTGGATGTAGTGTTACGTAAATCTGTTTTGAGGGTTTTTTTCTTTAGGTGCACTTGATGGGAAAAATTTATTCTTTTATTTTTTTAAAGTTTTGTTTATTTTTTCTATTTTCTTTTAATTTTAACATTTTTTTTCATACTAACTCTTATGTTAAGCATTCATTTAGGAAGTTAAAATAAAGTAATTTCTCTTCATTAGCAAACAATATATAATATGTTTGGTGCACTTAACCCCTTAAGGACGGAGGCAATTGTACTCTGATCAAAACAAAAACAAAATTTGAGGGGGGGCGGAGCCTGGACTGCAAGCAGGCAAGATGTGCATCGCACGGGCTCCTGCTGTAAACGCTGCTTACACGGTCTTATCCCAGGCTGACAACTCTGAATCTTCTGCTTGAGTTGAAATTCATGCTCAGTACACCCTAGCCTACTCGTGAGCACCTTTATTGACACTCGCATTGAGAACCACAGCAGCACGTTGAGGCCTACTGGAGGCAGAACGGGGG